ATTAACTTAGAAAAAAACCTAGTAAAGGAACACTTCCTTCACTGGATTTTCATCGTTTGGTGATCCAGTGAATAAACACCCCCTTATCTCAGTACTTTATTATACTATGGTGCTTTAAAAAAATAAAACGTAACTTCAATAAATCTATTTTGAATTCTCTTTTTTACAGTGAGAAAAATAAGACTATTACATGCAATTAATTCCACTTCAAACATATAAATACAAATACTCACCTTATAATTTTTTTCAATGAAACAAGGTGTTGCAGAGATAATAACAAATTCAGAAATTTTTCCAGAGAATTCTATTTGACCAGGTAATCCAAAACATCGCTAGATGACTTCCTATTGTTTGGCAGTAAGCTATTGTTACCAATCAATCTGAAGAAAAACTTTCAAATTCTTATTTTTAATCAATATATATGAAATGTTCCTTCACTGGGTAGTGTTCCTTCACTGGTTGGTTTACCCTATATGAAATTTTATTGTTTATACATGAATTTATTTCTAACACACATATTTTTTCTCTTAATTTATTTTTATGAAATTAAGACTTCTAAATTATTAAAAATTTTAAATCAAAATTTCAAATTCTTGATGCTTTCAAACAATTTTGTTTTCTTTCAAAAATAAAACACAGCCTATAATTTTATTTTAAAAAAATTCTACTCAATTAAATAAAAAAAAATGGAAATAAAGTTATTGTTCTTTTGAGAATAGCTGAAAATGTCACCAATAAGTTTTAGGTAAAATAAATCACTTAAAACTGAGCTATTTTTCAGTCACTATCGAAATAAAATCCCTTGAAATAGAAAATTTGTTTTTGTTCCGATCATTCTTACTTTTAGGAGAAACTTTCTACCTAATCTCGGCTCTTTAAGATCAGTATTATCTTTATCTTCAGAAAATGAAATTAAATTACTTTAAGTTTAATCCTGTCATAGCACTAAAGCAGTATAAAAAATATAATTAAAAATGGCCGAAGAACGGCTAATTCTGAAAGCAGGGACATAACACTTATAAGAATGCATTTAATCAGCTTTTGTAAAAAAAAAAAAATGCTGTTTCATTCTTATTTTAGATGATAACTACACATTTATTATATAACTTGCTATTTCTTTACCTTATTTTGTATTTGAGAAGCAAATATAACACTATTCTAACAATTTTTAATAATATAAGGATTAATTATTTTAAATGTATTGCTTTTGTAAGACATTGAGAAAATACCAACACTTCATATACAGAAATTCACTTTAATTCAACAAATATAAACATGCCACATTACTTTAGTCATATTTTATTGAAATTTGTAATTTAACTTGCTATAAAAGTATTTGAAAAATGATACATTTGTCTCTTTTCAAGACTATATATTTTGATTTAGTTTACTTTGGAATTTTAGACAGATTGAAAAAATATTACGTTTTCAATAAGTTTTCTCCCACACAGGAAGCTCACATTCTGGATGAAAAACTGAGTATATATAATACAAATTGAAATGAGCAGCATCAGATAAAATTAAATTGATTGCCAACAATTAAAAATATACAATATGTAAACTATATCACAATACCAAAAAGTTTAGTTCGTACTGAACCGTACTATAATGGATTTGATTTAACCTAAAAAAATAACAATACTGATACTCTTTAAAAGAAATCAAATTAAAAAACTTAAAAATAAAAAAAGATGTCAATTTGACACATTAACTTAGAAAATATTAGCTTCAATATTTTTTTTTTTTTTAATTACAATGTTTAAACTATAATGGAAATCAAACTGAGAAAATGACTGACCAGATGTCAACCTCACACAAACTTTGTTTTTTAAATGTAAATTTCAAACTGTAAAAAAAATCAAATTAAAAGTTATTGATGATCAAACTCTGTTAATGTATTAGGATAAATGAACTATTTTCTAACTTAAAAATGCTTTATAATCAAAATTTTAAAAAAATAATTAGACATATTAGGCTTAACAAACCATTGCAAATATTATAGTTTAAACATTATAATAGAAAAAAATATGGTGAAAAATAAATCTTCAAATCAAAATAAAAAAGAACCAATAAAAATATATAGACAAATGAACTTTAAATAAAAATCAAATTCAATAACCAACAAAAATGATGTAGATTTTTAAAACTAAAATATATAAGGTCAACTACAGCATTTTTTTAAATAAAAAATCATATTAGGAAGCAAACAGAAAAGGTGTCAATATAATAGGGGTTAATACACCATCTTAAGTAAAAATGTTTGAACTTATAATAGAATACAAATAAAATAATGAAAGCGACGTCACGATGCCAATTTTTAAAATGCTTACAAATATAATAAAGAACCATAACTTGAAATTTAAACTTAAAATACAATAGAATGATAAACCATTTGCTGGCATAAGAATTATTAGGATTCTAGAAATCAAGTCAAATTAAGACAAACAAAATATATGCCAAAGAACAGAATAAAATATATATATATAATAAAGATATGGCCAACTTAACAGATAATTTTAGGTTGAATGAAACAATTACCCCTCCCCACAAAAATTGTTACAAGATTCTAGGACGGGTAGCAGCATCTGAATAGAGGAAATATAACAAACTTCAATTGCAATTAATGGTGGCAAAGTTGTAAACTACTTATAAGGAACTTTCAGACTACAGTCAAATGCCCAAATTTGGGTCAATTTCTAAGTTTAGACGTTAATTAACACAGCCTACATTTTGTTGAATTTTCTTTAGACATTTTGAAGAAAACTACTTAAGTTATATTGAATGTGCTTTCAATACAAAATGTTATCATTTACAAAAAATTGATGAAAAGTAAAAAGTTCTAAAGAAATTATTTAACCTGTTTCCCCTCTGAGGCAACATCATAAATTTGAATGATGAATAATTTAAGAAAACAATGCTAATAAATAATGATTCAATTTTATTTCTTACAAAAAAAAAAAATTCTGTTCATTCAATAATCATAAATAAAAATGATTCATATATATTTTTACTATATAAGCAGTTTTTTTTTTCTCATAATTTTTCAAATTTCATGGGTCAATAGCATTTTTAACAATACAACAGTTAAAAATAAATTTCACAAGTGCAAATTAATGTAATTTTTTTCTCTTTTTTACTATGATTCATTGGTAAACATTGATTCAATTATTTAAAAAAAAAATTTATTTCATAGATTATGATTTTCTAAAAAATAAGTCTTAGCTATTTTAATGCTTCATTTTTATATAAAAATTAAACTATTTCACATTCAATATTTACATCTAATTTAGCTTGGCTGTTGAAGCAAAGTTTAAAGCTACGAAAGACAGTATCCGCTGGGTTGAGCAAATGTAGACAATCTCAGTTGATTAAAGAGTTTTTAAAAAATATTAGTCTGGCAGGAAGAAAAGAAAAACCCAATGTGGGCATCTCAAGGTCACAGACTCAAGCCTTGGTTCAGGAGGGAGAGCAAGACTATTTTGTCTATCGACAGGTAAGATAACCTGATGTATGCTAAGATAATCCAAAATGGTATCTCTTGCATATTCAATGCATATGAGTAAATCAATGTGACCCGAGATATGTAAGAGTGTTCAAACAGAGGTAAATCTTATTATAGTACCTAAAAAGCATAACATTAAATTCAATGTCCTTAATGGGGAGTAAACATTAGACAAAGAAAATTGCTTTGACCTTTAAAATGTGTTTTGAAAATAAGAAATCACAGATTAACAATGGCAAATTAGTTATCAATTCACCATTCTTTTTGATGATCATGCAATTTTCTTCAAACAATCTACTCTTAAAATATTAGCGGAATGCCAGATGAGAAAATCACCAAATTATTCCAAACATGAGCACTTGACTGAATGTTAATTGATCCAGCATTATCATGAACAAAACTTAAAAAATACTTAAATCATTAAAGAAACATTAATTTTTCAGAATAGATAGCTTTTATTGCTTGTAACTACAGTTGCATAAAAACCTGTAACATCACATTTGTAAAATTTGATTTCAAAACAACATCAATGTTTCTTAAACAAAATAAATAAAAACAAAAATTTGTTATATTCTCTCAATAAGAAAAAAAAAAATTTATACAACACTCAGAGCTCTTTTTCTTAAACAGTCTGTTACCAAATCTTTACATTCATAAATCAAAACTTTTACATCAGCAACAGTTTTTAAACATTTACATTTGTAATAAAACATTCATACTAAGCAATTTTTGTCTACAATAGAGTAAGCATTATTTATGAAGCAAAAACCATTTCTCTCCTATCAGTTATTTCCTAAATAAATTTTGCTACTTGATAAAAAATATCATAGACAATGTTTCATTATTTTACGTAGTATTATTTTATTGAAATGCACCAGGAAACCAAAACCTTCATAGGTTTAAAAAAAAAAAGATTAACTTTTAAATATAAGCTAAAAAATACACATAAAAAGCACCAATGAGTTAAGTAATTTAAGATATGCTAAGGTCTATATTATAAAATAAAAAGATTTAATATTTTATAATTAACAATATTATCTAAAAATCTTATGAATATACAAAATGTGTTGAAAATTGACCACATTCTAAAATCATTTATACAGCTGTTAACTAGAGACGAACACTTGTTTGATTTGAAATGCTGCATATAAATAAACTTGGCTAGGTCAATATTGACTTAAATTTCAATGGAAGTTCACTAAAAACACACAGGAAGCAAAACAAGAATGAATGTACACTGTACAAATAACACTCATGTTGACAAAAATATGCCCCAAGACAGAATATACAGAAGGGGTTATTTATACTGTACATAATTATCACTCCAATTTACCATATTATGCACATACATTAAGGGCAGTTAAATTTACAAAGCTGCATTTACAAGGAAATTAATCACAGAAATCTCACTGCCACTCAAAACATACATAACTATATATACAAAATCAACTCCTCCATTAGCTTTATTTTCCTTTAATTCTTAAATGAAAACTTGTACAATGTGATGCTATGAAAATAAATAACAAACACCTAATCGGCACATTATGTAAGCAGATGGCACTTAATTAGTCCGTGGATTCACAGTTTTTGTTTCTGTAGAAGAAAAATAATTTTAATCAGTAAGCAAATAGACAATTAATATGTAAATTCAAAAGCTTTATAACTATAATTTTTGCATCTAAATGTGAAATGTGTCAAAATGCAATTTTAAAGCTTTAAAGGAACAGTGTAAAGCAATTTTACGGTAGCAAGACTAGAATGCCAAAGGTCACACACAATTGCTTCTCATACTTTCATAACATACCAATAAAAAGACCTCATAGTTATCAAGTAGAGGTGTGTGAATTGTGCTCCATCCAAGGCTGTACTTAGGGGTGAACAGACTATGAAAGCACCCAGGGTCATCAAAAATTCAAAGCTGGTTAATTTTATTACAAGTTTTTTTTTCCTCCCTTCCTTCACTTTTTTGTCACATTGAGTAAGAAAACGTTATTTATCTTATAGCTAATTGTTGTGGCATGTGTAAGCATAATAAACCTATCCACTTGGGGTTGCGAAGAATACATTGCTATTGTCACACACATCTACACTCATCCTGTTGTTTAGTTACTGCAAATGAATCTAGTTTCAAGAAAGACACTGAATATTATAGAAAAACAACCTTACTGATGCTATGTCAAATTTGGTGATTGCTCTAAAAATTCGTCTTACTGTTCCTGTACCATTGCTGCTGTACATTCATTTTCAAAACTGAAAAAAAACATATTTGATATCATCGATGACTAACAGACTGTTTTAAAAGACAATTTTACGGCGTAAAAAGCTAGAAAAATTATTACAATAATTAACATATCCACAGTTGAAAGTAATACTATAATTTTCATATTTGCTAAATCTTGGTTATATTTTTCTAATTCATTAGATATATTATTCATACGAGTTAATTTATATTTATAAATATGCTCAATGTTTTTTCAGTTAATATTCCTTAAAATCAGGAGTGAAATTTTTTAGATAACCATATCTGAATTCACATTTTGTCATAGAAATTAATATTTTAACTTTAAATTAGTGCCCATTTGTGAGGGCAATCTCTCAGATAATAACAAGATAAAAAGCAGGGTTGGCATGATTTAAAAATATTTTAATTAAAAAATTTATTGATTTAAAAATCACATGTTTGTTCTTTTTTAAATCAAATATTTACATAGAAAATATGATTTGTTTTTTCTATTTTTGTTCAAGAGTTAAAATATAGACAAACATGTAACTTTTAAATTATAATTTTTATTAATCTTTTATATTATTTTCATATCTTAATGTGCTCATACTAGTATGAAAAATAATTTGGTAATATTTCAATTATACCCATTTAATTTTATACATATTTATTTAAATACAAGTAATTTTAAATTTTATTAAATATGTAGTTAATGTATCTACTTGTAAATAAAGAATAGACTTGTTTTGCTAAGAAAAATTTATTTTTAAAACTGTTTTTTAATCTAAATTGATTTACTTACTTTGCATTTGGCAAATTTTGTTTTCTTATATAAAATGTTGAATTTGGTTTGATAAAAAGAAAACTTCTTTTATTCAGTAATTAGTTTGTAATAATTAAATACTAATCTTTTTATTATTAGCGGTATTAAGAATTTTAGATGCAGTATTGTAGTTATATAATATTAAGTATTATTTATCTATTTTATCTTTCTAGATCATTAAATGTGAAAAGAATTTAAAAATCATATTAATACAAAAAAATTCTAAGGTTTAATGCATATTTTTTAAAATAAAAAACGATCATCAATCCAGATAACATTGCCTCAATGTTTCGCCCAAGCCTGCTAAAACCCTGAACACACCCTTGGCTCCAGGCAAATGTGCCATAATTCAGAAAGTGCAACTTCACAATGTACACCTTCATAAATCTGACATTTTCACAAATAAGAGAAATGCACTAAGTTGCTGAAAACGGCTTGTTATAGTAAAAGCTATTACAACAAACCCGAAGATTGCATAAAAATCACTAAAGCTTCTAATTTAAGGGTACAAAGCAAAGAAAAACTGTGATATGTGTGTGTGAAAGATAAACTAGTTTTACTAACTGCTTATTAATTGGTTGAAATGTATGTCTAAAAATCAAGAATATATGTATTCTCAAGAAATGGGAGCAAAGAGTAGATAATTTTAATACCAGTTAAGTGTAAATGGAGAAAAGCAAAAATTACTTTTTGAATCCAAGAAATTATAACATCTTCATCAGAGAAAAGTGTAGAGTTGAAAATTGAAAATTAAGCCAATAATTCTTTTAAATTACAAAGGTTTTACCTCTGAAAGAATTTCAAAAAAGAAAATGGCATAGATAAATTAGAGGTCTCCCAAATGAAAACAATTACAATATTCCCCAAACTTTTTGAGTGAAGGGCCGCTTGAACAGCAGGCGTAAATGAAGGGCGCATACCCAAGTACTTATACAAGTCCACAGCAATTATGGTAACTTTCTTCCAACATCAGCCTTTTAGGCACTTAAATCTTTTTTATCACTCAACTGAGTAATATATTTGCTTAAAATAATATACTTTTAAACATTAAAATTCAGTAAAAACTGAAGAACACCAAACTAGACCTTATTTATAAAAAAATATTACCTTCTAGTCAAAAAAATAGATTAATTGAAGGGAAAGAAAAGGAAGAAAGAGAAATGCAAAAATTCTCAAATAAATTAAATATAATGTTATTACAACAAAAGTAAAAATTAAATAAGGTATTGAACAATTTCAAAGTAAATAATTTAATTAAAGAAATTTCATGTGGTTTAAAATTATTTAACACAAAACAAATGCATTATAACTTAAAATAAGATTTAGAATTTAATTAGCAATATATTTTCAAATTTAGGACATCTATATTTAGTAAAAGTTATAGGAATGTTAAACTTTAGATAGGTTTTTAAGCAATAAAAAATTAAATAAGTTTAAAACCAGTAAACAGTTAAAAACTCATTACACGACTTTTTTTTAAATTTGACAAGCTATTATATTGTATAAGATTGATTTTTTTTAATATCTAAAAAAAAAGAAGCAACAACTGCCAAAAAAACTTTTCATAATTAAGTTGGATTGATAATCAAATCAGCTCAAAGTGCATATAAAGTGATTATTAAAATGAGACATTTGATACTCATCAGGTGTAAAAATTATTTTAGTAAAAATATCAGAATTTTTGAAGCCATATGAAAAAGAACAGCAACAACTACCAAAAAAATTCTTAAAAAAAATTCCTTTATGTTTGCTATGAAATAGACATAAATAAATCCTAAATTTAAATGCTTGATTCAAGTATCTATATCATGTGTATTAAAAATAACAGGATTTTTACAACAAAGTAAAAAAGCATAGCAGTAACTACCAACAACATATATCACTTAGATTTGCAATAAAAACGGTACAATAAAATGCACATTCAAAGGTGCCATTCAAGAGTCATTATAACCATCAAGATTTTTAAAACCATGTGGCCATACACAGCAATAACTGCCAAGAAAATTATCGAAATATAACTTGAATAGATGATGAAATTAGCACAAATAAAATTATTATAAAAATGTGCGACTCGAAACTAGTGAGAAGTAATAATGATAACTGGTTTTTAAAATGTTGGTATTTCAATACCAGGATTTTGAAACCACATAGAAATCAGACAATGGCTGCATAAAAGATAATCATAAATTCAAGAGGATTATTAATGAAATGGACACGAATAAAGGATGTCAAAAAGTAAAAACTGTATTTTGAAATTTGTGTATCATAATAATGTATTAATAATGTGGAATTCTGGCAATTACTGATAAAAATGCAGTAGAAAAGTCACACAGTTTATGAAGAAATCTGTAGCAATTAACTCCAAAAACCCAATAGAATGATGGAATTTGAGAGCATTTAAAACTGATGACTCGAATGGATGAATCAAAATTGTACAACTTCATTTTTCAAAAAGAAAAATATAATTATAAATATCTTTAATGTCATTATATTCAGGTGCACCCCTAGTTTTCACTAGCATTTTAAACATAGATGAATTAGAGATCTCTTAAATGCCAAAATAAAAACACAAACCTTTGAAGATTTATAAAATTAACAAATATACATATAATTACAAAAATAAAGTTATTATATTGTCTTAAAATTCTGACAGCTATTTATTTATTATCAATTACTAGCAAATCAAAACTTTCAGTAAGTAATTGTTTTTCTTTGGCTGCCTATTATATTTATAACAAATTGTAGAATAGAGTGACTTCATTATTATAATAGAAATTTATATTTTGATTAGAAATGACCAATTACTTAAAACTGATACAATAAATTCAATTGATAAACAATTTATAACTATTGAAAAAATTATTGCTAACTTTTAACTTAAGATTCTTTTCATTTTAAAATTTTATATTAAATTGAAACACTACTTAACCTCTTAACTGACGCGGGAGTATATATATGCCTCGGCCAGATGATGCGTTAACTGCCGCAGGCGTATATATACGCTTTCCCGAAGTACGATGCTTTGCAATGCGCTGCTATAAATAGAACTGCGCCCCCGACTTGTGAATGCAGTAAAATGACCTTGAAAGTGTTTGCCAACGAAAGTGTTTGCAATGAATGTATTACCAATTTCGGAGAAGGGGGTAATGGGAAAGGGACGTGTTGGAAAAGTGATATCATAATATTTATTGCTTGTGCGTTTCTATTTGAGTAAGGTCGGGTTTATTCTTCTTTCGCTTTCGTTTCCCGTGTATATTCGTTGAGAATCTCGTTATCAATGCAATGAATGTGATGTTGGCTTATGATCCAACCATGTTTCAGGATTTATCATACAAGAGCTAAGTTTTAACATCTTTTATATTGTATTTTTATTCTTTAATTTAAGTTTCGTATTTTCTTTTTTCCTTTTTCTTCTCTTGTGAAAGTAAACTGTTCTTAAATTGCAAAGCGCACATCTTTTTTCCCCACCAAAACATTGTGTAACAAACCGCACTTGAGTGAAAAACTGTGGCACTGGGGAGTGAATCACGTAAAATTTACTCGGCAGGTAAGGGGTTAATTCTTATTTTAAGCTAATACTCATTTAAGAAATTAAAAATGTTTGAATTTAACAGAGTTCTCCCTAACAATATAAAAGGGCATGGTGCTTCCTCACAGAAAAGAGCTAGAGCACTCACTAAACAACGTAGAAATTTATCAAAAAGCGTAATATTGTGTAATAACTGAAATTCATTCTCAACAATTTTTAAAGTACATTTTTATACTATTTCAAGCATGTATTTCAAAAAGTAATTCTCACTTCTCTTCGAGCTAAGAGAAAAAATTTTAGTTTATAAAGAATAACTAAAAGCATGCTGAAAGACAATCACCAAGTGCACATTTTTTGAAAAAAAAAGTAAATTTAAAAAAAAAAAATGATTAATTGATAAACAACTTGAGAGTTTCTTTTACAGAAAATTAAGAGAAAACAAATTAAAAGAGCATTTTTTCAACAAAAAAATGCATTTATTTAAAATCACTTAAAAAATTCATTAATGTACCCCCAACTCGAGAATAATCCTAACTAAAAAAAAATTCGTAATAGTAATTACAATTTAACCTATAAATTTCACCAGTGTAGTTAAACAGTGAATAAATTTTCTTTTAAAATGGAATGTGAATAAAAAAGACAGATTTTTTTAAAGGATGGTGGCTTATTTTTACAAAATGGAATACAAGAGGGTGCATCAAAGGGCAGACAGGGTTGGCCTCCCTTTTAAAAACACTAAAGGAGAACACTGAATTTAAACATACTAAATTAAAGTTATTTCCAAGATTAATCAATACGTTTTTTAACACTTGCCAATATTTCCTTAATGATGAAAATTTTAAACCAAAAATAAAAATATAATTTAAAGTTAGTCTACTTCCTGAAAAACAAAGTTTAATTTCTTTCATCATTTCAATTATAGTTTTCTAATTACAGAAATAACTGAATGCAATAAAGCATGTTTATCTTAAAATGTAGTGTTAATGATGTATAGTTTAAAAATTGTGAGGCATGCAAGAAGTGGTGGTAAACTCACCTTGATTAGTAGTATATGTGCCTGCAGTAGAATTGGATGTAGTTGTAAGGTTTGATGGATCATAAGTATTACGCACAACAGCTTGATGGAGGTTAGAAGACACAGAATGACTGGACTGGTGTGTCGTGAATGGAGGTGTCACCAAATGAGAATATGTATTGGATGGTGATGAGGTTTTTACTGGATGACTAAGAGACATATGAGAAGGGCTTGCACGAAGTGGTAAAGGACTATGACTACGGTTGTAAGCAGAAGTGGCCTTTTCAATTTGTGACATAGAATGTGCAGGGACTGGGGACATAATAGCATGAGAATTAGTGTTATGATGATTTGGTGAGGTAGATTTACATGGATTTGAAATAGGTGGGGATGTGCTTGCCATGAAATGACTAAGAGAGGTAGATGGAGATTGAGATGAACTTGACTTCCAAGGACCTTGTATCTATAATAGAATATTCGTAGAATAAAAGTTAACAAGAGAGGGTGGTGAAAAAGAAAACCATATTATAGACAAAATAATTAGTTAATTTTATATAATTTTTATTTAATCACTAATTTTTTTGTATCACTGGTGGGGCACAATTTTGTCGCCTAGCTAGAAGCAATTTGCTAGTTAAAGAAAAATGTAGTAGTAAAAACCGCTAGTAATGGCTTATAGTCTAGGTTTTCATCATTTTTTCCGTACGCAATATTTTTAATACTTTGTTACTGTAACTCCTTAAGTTCAATTTGGAATAATCCCCTTTTGAAATGCTTAAATCGTAGCTATCCCATCGTTAATGTGCAGTTTTGTTTTTAATTGTATTCTAGGCAGTTACTTTTGAATTTGTTTCTTTTTTCTTATGGCTTTTCAAATTTTGATACGTTATCACAACATGCACATTTCAAATTTGAATAAATAGCATTGAGATTCGCGATGATTCACAAACAAATCCATGTCATTTTAAAATTATATTTTTTTCTCAACTTGTGGCTTTTTCGCCTGTTTTCATGTGATTTTTTAAATTCCAATATATTAAATATATTTTAACAAGAATGAAATTTCTGATTTGGGAAATCACTTTTTTAAAGAGCTCAGTTCATGGGGATTCCGTTGTAATTTCATTTCATTTTCTCGCCAGTTACTTTTTGTTTTTATGGCCTATTTACACCACAGTTCTGATATTTTTAATATGACGTTATTATAACAAGCAAATTTCAAATTTGAGCAATCACATTCAATGAGCTTAATTTTTAACGATGCAGTCTTAAATCAAATTCATTTTCTGTTATTTGGGCAATTATTAAATTTATCTTTCTTCGGTTATTTCAACAACACCATTAAAATTTTTATATATAAAACATATCACTTCCACCACCAAATTTTGAATCCCACAACTGAGTAAAAAAAGCTCCATTGAAATTCGCAATCTGAAAAGCGCTTGATTGAAATTCCCATGGTTATGTAGAATGCTTTTTCGGCAGTTATTACTATTTATTTTGACATGGTTTTTAAATTCTTAATGACTTTAATACAATGTTATTAAAATACAAAATTTTCAGAATGCGAGAAATTTGCACATTTCAAAACTGATTAATAGTATGCACAATTTAATTGCAGGTTTTGTCAATAAAAAATCTGAGAACCTGGAATATTATAGGTCTCTGAAGTACCACACCTTTTTATAACAAATACAATAGCATTTCCCGTAAATAGAGTTGCCAATTCATTTTCCAGTACTCTGCACCTTTAAGATTTTATAATGAACTCAAAATGGTAATTAATAATTCAGAGTATGATGAGAAGGCATGAAAACAATGCGGCAAAATTATTTTAGTTTGAAAAATTATAATTCACAACTAAATAATTTTTATTTTAAATTGATTATTTTAGTTTGAAAAATTATAATTCACAACTAAATAATTTTTATTTTAAATTGAGTTCTTTTTGAATGGGAGAGTTCTTACAAAAAATTCTTATTAAAACTTTAGGGGTCAAAAAGTTAAACTTTTAAGAGTGTGAACATTTTCAGAACTGTGCCATACTACGCTAAAATAATTCCTCCTTTTGTTCTTCCTTTAACATTATAATTATTTTAGCCAAAACTGCATCAATAATAAAAAATTTCCTGAAACTAAAATTTATAAACCTTGTATTTTGTCTCTGTAAAACTTTACAGCCTATTTTTAACAGTAACCATTCAATACAATAGCTACTTTTTAAAAAAAATAATAACCGTAGATGAACAGCCGACCCAATTTTGCAAGCCGGATACGGAATTCATATCGACCAGCCATCACGAAATTCGAAACTGGTTCACCTCATTGGAAGACAAAAACTATCCCCTGTACCATAATCAATATATCATAAATGCCGCTCCCAAGTTGCAATATGCCGCACAATAGTCATTTTGTCACATTTTCTGCATTGTGATATTGCTTTAAAAAATACTAGCATAAGCTCTAGTTCTGTTACTGGTATTTTTAGCACTAGCAGAATTTGCTTCTGATCTTAAAAGATAAAATTGTGCCCTGATCACTGGATTAAAACCTAAAAGGCTATTTTTTGTTAGGAACAGCATGTTATGGGTTAAATATTAGATACAATGTAACAGTGATTGCTACTAATAAAATCAGCTACTTTTTAAAATAAAATCTACAAGAACAGAATTATTATTATATCAAAACACAAAAACACATTAAGACCATATCATCTTTTAATAAAATCATTATAAAAAATTTTATAATATCATAATTAAAATTTTGGAGAGCATATATTTTAAAAAGGAAAAAAAAAATTTACTTTTTCAAGTCAGAAAATTTAGAATTTAATTCTTTCTCAAATTCTGAAAGATGTGCTACACAAATGTGTTTAACAAATTCCAGTTTCCAACCCACAAAAAAAAAAAAAACTACATAAGTGGAGCACACTTCATGGGAAAGTTGTACACTAGAGGTAAAAAAGATAAAACTGGAGAAGAGGGTAAAAGAATCCAAATGAAAACTGTTTATGAACTAGAAAGTTATTGAATGCCCCAATATTTCAAAAACCTATGAGTGTTTAATCAAAATGTCAAATGTAAACTAAAACAGTTTAAATTAAATTGTGCGTGTAGTAATTAGAAAAGATTTTAGTGTTTTGATTAAGTTAAATTTGGAAACCCTCTTTTAAGTTATGAATATACTAGTATATAAAATAAGCCATTTTATAAAATTAAATATCACCAGAATGAACTTGATTTTTTTAAGTAGTCGGTACTGAAAATATTTCAATCTTGTTAGTAAATTTTAAAAAAAACTTTCTTACTAAAATTTTGAAACAATTTTAGAATACTAATTAAAAAACTCTAGGAGTTGAGTTATTTCCTGTTTTAAAATTATTTTAACAATTTATTTTTATTTTATCTTAAAAAATTTTTTTGAATGCAGCAACCAATTATTTCAACTAGAAAGAAAAGTGGAATTTAAAAGAAAGTTGTGTTGAATGTATCTTTAAATGGCACAAAAAATCAAAGGTGGACATGTTGCACCATAAAGTTATGTCTAATAAATATAAAAGTAAGATCCATATTTAAGTGACCTTCTTTTACAGCTTTTTTTTAGTGGTGTAGGAACTACAATCTTTTGAAAAAGAATAAAGCATTTAAAACAACGTTATGAGTTTGTGGAAATTATTTAATCCTTCCAAATGCATTTAAAATACATTATGCCAGTCTACTATAACTGAGTAATCAATAAGAACAAAGTAGAGAGACTCCAGTGAAGAAAACAGAAAGGTCAATTTGGAGCCACAAAGCAGTATGTTCATGAGGGCAGACCAACTGGTTTCAAAAAGCAACTTACAAAATATAATGTTTTTGAAAAAAAAATTTATCAAAAATATACTGAAACATTTCATTTAAAAAAGTATAGAAGGAAATCAATGCAACAGAACAGTGGGGAAACAGATGTATAATTTAAGTCATGTAAGTGCATATTGTAATACAGTAGAGAACCAATTATCCGGGATGCTCGGGACCATCGCTATCCCGGATGTCTGAATTTCCCGGTTTTCTGGATCGACCAAAAAGTGTCGTTAATCGATGTTTTATCGAACCCGAATTTCAAGGAAAAAGTGTAATGCATAAAGTAAGAGAAAAAAGAAAGGTATTCCTAACTTTAAAAAGAAAAAGAAAATGGTAGAAAAATAACGTTTAAAAAAATAAAAAAAATTGCACGTTTAGACAAGAAAAACAAGATTAAAAAATATAAAATTCTCGTATTTATTTTTTAAAAATAATTACAATTCCTAAATTAACTAATATAAACAAAACCAATGGTTAAATAACGCAATATATTTCATACCTAATTATACAGAGGAAACGATAAAAGGAAAACTTATTAATCTAAATAAAAACACTTGAAAATTATCGAAACGATAGTTAAAAAAGGCACTAGCATAAATATTGAAATCCGGAACAAGGCAAGATCAACGGAATTTTAAAAAAAAAAAAAACCTAATGATAAAATTTATGAATAAAAAGAATTAATTTATTGAGTGCAAAATTTATCGTGAAAAGAAAAAAAAATCAAACATAGTGGAATCAGAAAAACAAAACTGCAATCTGCTTCATAAAATAATCCTATGTTTAAATTAATAAACAATTCTCCTTTTATTTATTTTTTTTTTTGTTGATAAAAACACGATATTTAATTACAGCAGATGTGATTCCACATCAATAAAAACTTGCAAATGATACCGCACTTGAATTTATTCATAAGAAAAAGATTTTATTTTTATTAATCGATGTCAAATAGATAAATATATTTTTTTCTTTCATCTTCTGTTCACTGATATGCATGCAATGCATTTTCCCCACCTGCCTCGTAAATTATACAGAAAACGAAATCAGCATGCCACACCCTTCAGCTTGATTGACGGTCTAAAGGAGAAAATAAAACATTCCTCCCTTCCCTGCCTTCAAGGTCACGGAGGAAATGACGTTTCTCTGGGTAAACGGGGGAAAAAATTCTCCCCTTCCTTATATTTTCCTCTACTCAACTTCAAGGATGAGTTCATTTCCGCTTTTTTTCATAATCGTTCTAGTTTAAAATGGCGGGAATACTGATCAAAATTTTTCCCGGTTATCTGGATACCGGATAAATGGTTCTCTACTGTATACACAACATGAGGATTTGAAAAATGACATGGAATAATGAACTGTTAAAAATGTGTTTTACAAAATAATGTGGATTCAGGGTTGCATAACCATTTAGATATGTATTTGGAAAGTAAATTTGCTTTGTAACATTGAATGGAAAATGGATTGATGGCACATTGATTTTTAAATCAATAGTTTGTAGGTTTTTTTTTAAAATTTTGCACTAAAATTCCACACATTTTTTCATTAGTATTCATGTTTCAATATTGCTTTTATTCTGATATATTCTGCATATTTCAAAGGGACAAATAGTGATCATTCTCAGTGACAATTATAAATTTAAAAAAAAAAAAACTGATCGTAGTAAATAAAAAATCTACACTGCATTGATATGTGAGGATTATAATACAGTAAATATATATATATGTCAAATTTAACTGTTCTCTCAAGTGTCAAACAGTGTGTATTTAAAGTTTATTAAAGATAGAGAATAGATTAATTTTACTTACCAACGACTGCCGTCGTTGAATTTCAGACGAAGTGACAATGTTGGAATGAGCTTGTGTGTTATGATTAGTTGTATCACTTTTTGATTCATGTATACTTCTTAGCCCCGGAGAAATATGTGATGTAGTTCTAGATGAATTGTGCTGTGAATGAGCTGAAGTCCGATGAGGAGAAGATGAATGTGCAGGTGGTGGAGTGGGTAATGAACTAACAGGAAATGGAAAACCTTTCATCCCTTCTAAAAGGGATGGACCTAAGCTTGCATCTAAAAAATGAGACCACTGATCACTAGTTTTATTACCACTTTGGCTATACTTGGATCGTTTTTTGTATGGAGCAGTAACAGTACCCTGAGATGAGATAGCTGAACTATACTTAGCAAGATCAAATGGTACTTTTTGAGTACTTTCCAAAGAAGTTCTTGGAGATGTGCTCGAAGGATAATCACTCAAATGTTCACTAATTAATCGGGAGGAAGCATTAGTCATGGCAATTGACGAAACTGCTGAATATTTGACACTTTTGGGATTATGCTTTTGAATAGGGGGGATATCAGTTTTTTCAAATGCTTCAGCAAACTGTCTAGAATGAGGAACAATGGAATCTTTTAATTTCAAATTAACAGCAGAAGAAATATCAGAATGATTCTTACTTTTGTTAATTGCATCACTAGATCTTTGTATACTTTGATTTTTAGCACTCATAAAAGATTCCACACTTGCAAGGTTTGGAAAGTTATGTCCACTATCCTGACTAGATTTCCTTGCATCAAAATTATATGGCTTTATATCTATTTTTTTAGGACTAGTATGAGTGTCACTGGAATATTTAGAAGGTAAAGAAGTACGTGATTCCTTTAAAACGGATGGGTTTGGTGAAATAACACTAGCAGATTTTGATGATGTATTGTCTGTATTTTGTGAACCTGCATAAGGAAAATCAGCTAAACTTGCACATATTATTCGAGCAAGCATATCTGATGCAAGAGACCCCTCTGCAAATGTGTTAAAGTCTGGCACTTTAGGAGAAAATGTAGTTTGTTTATTTTGTGTTAATTTTGAATGCTTATCACTTTTAGGTGTAGCAGGTTTTGATCCCAATAAACTATCTGAAATTGTATTTACATGATGTGGAGAAGGGGTCTTAGGAGGAAGTTCATATGTTACCTTACTTGTAGAGGCTACACTCTCATGGCTTTTCAAAACTGAATATTCATCAGTAATAACTGACTTTAAAGGAAATGCAAACAGCTTTGCGAGCTCAGCTGCCCTTTCTTCAGAAGACAGCACCTGATTAGATGACATAACATCAACATGTTCTCTTTTCTCTACGGCATTTTCAACTGATGATAATAAAGGCACACTTTTATCATGAACAGACTGTTCATAGTCAGATTCCTGAGTTATAACAGTATTGTTAAGGAGAGACACTGCAGGCTTCATAGTAAGCATTACAGGAGTCAATGGATTCAACTTTTTAGGGATCAGTATTTGTTTCTTTGGTCTATTCCTAAAGAAAATAATAAATTAAAAATTTGTTCCAATAAACTAATCTAATTGAAAAATATATAATGAGAAAAAATGCTTACGTTATAGAAAAATGAGCAGCTCTGCTTTCTCTGAATAGTATTCTATAATGACAAAAGCAATAACTTAATGAAAAAATTTTTAAAAAATTTTTAAACTGTTGGCTTAAAAAAAAATTAAGTAACAATAATATTATTTTCTAGAATCAACTATACAAAAGAATGCAAATATATCAAAAACAAAAAGCTACACAATTTTAATAAAATATTTCTTTAAATAAATTAAAGGCAGTGTATCTGCTAGACTTTGCTACACTTCCCCTTTGGAAACTGTGGGTCCTTAGGAATCAGGACTTCCGAATTTCTGAGTCTTTTTTTCACTATAGGAAAGTCCCTATTTAAAATGCAAATCTTTAAAGATATGCAAATATATATATTACAATTAGGAAAAATGTGATTATTAATTGACTCAGTTATAATAACTCAACTAAGAATTTAAACCAAAATTTCTATATCAATTCAACCCAACCCGAAATTACCGTATATTCCGGCGCATAACGCGCCCCGTCATATAACGCGCACCTGTATTCTAATTACTTTTTTTAAATTTTAAGATATACTCTTCGTATAACGGGCACGAAAATTTGGATTGTACATGTGCAATATCTCGTCTTTCAAGATGGTAAATAAAAAGTATTTTTCCCTATCTTTTTAAAAAATAAAAGAACTGAATTTGACATGTATGTGAGGGTAGAATTGAAAGAGCAATAATGTGATTCTGAATGGACAAAAATGGTGTTAAATTGTGGGTAAAAAACATCTGGCAAAACCGTCCCGGTTGCGATAGAAAACCACAAAGCCTTTTAGAGTGGGACATGTTTAGGTCCCACCTTACAGATAATACAAAAAAAAATTGTAATTATAATACAAAAAAATTTTAATAATTGTAATTGATAGCGGAAGACGAATATAATGAACTATTTATGTAATAACGAAAATCAATGAAGTATATAGGTAAAGGTATGTTATTTCTTTAAAATAAAAGTATTTTTCTATATTTAAATTTTTTTAATCCATAATTTTTTATATTCGCCGTAGATTCCAATGTTATTTTTTGTATTAAAAGTGCGCGTTATACACCGGAATATACGGTACTTCCCTTTTTCGTTCTGCTTTTAACACAGAAAAAAAAAATTAGCGTATGTTTGCCCATACAAGTTTGCTGTTGCACTATTTTTTTCTCCTCCTTCTATTTTTATTGAAGGAGAATTTTACATCCCAGAAACATGGGTACCTTTTCTTGTATCCCCTTTACCATTTTCTGTGAATTCAGAACACCGCAAAATCGCAAATAGCTCTAGTAAAATATTTTAATACTGCTTTAATTATAAAAATAACAAAATTTTAGCATATTAAAGTTCAAAGGAGCAAAATTTAAAAAAAGTATGAGGTTATTAATTTCATTTAAATTAAAAAAACAATCAAAACAATAACCTGGATTGCATCCAACCAGGTGGCCATAAATTTTTGACTTCAGCTTCTAGGAAGTGTTTTAAATACTCTTCTGCAGACTGAATTCTTGTCTTAGAGACTTCATAGCACTTCAGTTTAATACGAACAACGTCACACAAATACTTCCTACAATATGATAGGGCTAATTTAGTATTAGATAGAAAAAATTGGCAATCAGAAATTATCACAGAAAAATAAGTAAATTAAATGTTTCATTTCAGCAAATTTTTACTTCTTAGTTGTTTAAAAGAAATCATATCTCCAAGAAAGTCAACTTTTAGAAACTTTTCAGCAGGATATTTGCAAAATTATACAATCAAAAATACAAATTCAAAAAAAGAAATTTTTTAATTCCAGTTAAAATAATTCCTTAAAAAATAAAAACTAGTTTTAAAACTATTTAATAGCAAATCGCGTTGGTTTATTAACTAAAAATAGTGCTCTTGATGTATCACGACTGTTGGTTATATATTTACTTTGATGCTTTCAAATGAAAAGAAAGAATTCAGTTTATTTAACAATGAAGGATTACTGTTGCATTTCCATTATGCTAACTTTTTTATAAAAAAAATAAAATGGGATTTCCGTATAGATTAATAATAAAGGCTCCAAATATTTTAATTAAAATTTAAAAATATATATATCAAGCACTTTTTATGTTTTTAAGTTTCACTCACAGATTGCGATTCCTTTGGATAGGTACAAACATAAGCTAGGATTTATTAGTTTGAAATATTTATATTAATATGATGTGTTTAAGCAAGTGATATTTTAAGTTTATGATTCTAAATCCTTTTACTTAAAAAAGGTTATATTGTTCAATTTTATTTTTCTGTCTCTACACAGTATAAATGTTTTGATTTTATTTACTTAGTACTTTAGAGTTTTAGGAGAAATAGAACATTTATATGACATTTTAAATAATGAAGAGGTTTCAGTGCCAAATAATATAACACCTGAAACAGAAATTCAGCTTTCTAAAGTAATTCAGTAATCTCTTGAAGGCATAGGTAGAAAAAAGAAAATATATATGGGAAAAAAATCCCCAACTGCAACAAGAAAAATTAGAAGAAAAAAAAGCTTAGCTGAACAAAATGTGAAAAAAAAGCTGAGTAAAGAGAAGAAAAAAAATCTGTTAGTTAGAAAAATTGGTAAAATGTTACTACCGAAACTCAAAAATACAAGATGGAATTTAGAAACATAGTTTCTAAGACAAAGCTTCTTTTAACATTGGGAAGATTCTTTTAATGTAGGGAAAAAAATTCAAAGCAATGAAGTTTCTGATAAACATTCTGAAAAGTGATGCAAGCAATTTCAATAAATATTTATTATACTTTTAAGAGCAAATAGATTAATGCGATTTGGATTGATTTACAGTTAATGATGAAGTTATAAACATTACTTAAAAAGAAATTTGTTGGTTTATAGAAAGTAAGAGAAAATATATTTGAAATCAAAATACAACTTTGCATTTTGATACCACAAAGTATTTTCTGTTCTTATTCCAAAAACAATCTGTAATTATGTTAATTTATATTTCTAAATCAATATTTGAGGACTAGGCTTTTTTTTTCCTGTTTTACCTTTACACACTCATGTTCAGGTCTATGAACATCATTTATTTTATGTTTAAATAGCTCATTTATGCATTAGATCTGAAGAACTATAACAATGTTATTATTTGTATTAAGCTATAAAAGAATTTTTATTTTAAGAATTCAACTACAATTTTACATTCAACTAGGACACATGTTTCACAATATTATTTTATTGAAAATTTAATAAATTGCATTTCTTAAAAAAAATAGTAATTTTTAATAACAGTTTGTCACATAATTCATGTGACTAATTAGCATTACTGTGATGACATATACAACAAAACTGAAAAGTTATTAGATAAATACTTGCAAAATAAAGCAACATTTAGCAAAATTATAATTCAATTTTAGATACCTTATAGTATCATTCCATTCAAATCTTTTCTTTGGAAAATGTGAAGCTTTCTTATCACCTTCTTCTTGACTTTCCTCTCCATCTGTACCAATGGGAACATCAATTTTCTTATTTTCATCCCTAGGAGAGAAAAATTTTTATTAGTAATTAAGACTTTACTTAAGACAAACTTCCAAACACTTAACAAATTAAAGAAATAGAAATTGACATACCATGAATTTATGCTACCATAGAAAAAGTCAATATAAAAGGGCAAAAAAAACAGCTCTCATTTAAAATATTTCAAACACATCATTAAGCCACTTTGCTGCTTGACGCTATGTACTTTAGCTGACAGAGCTAAGCTGTGATTCTGACCAGCTAATTAAGTGTGAGACTTTCAGCACAGACACCACACTATTTCTCACTCTTTACAATCTCCCAATTAGTTACAAAAGAGAAGCAATAAATTAGATAATCGAAATCTGTTTTCTTATGGGGACTTAAACTTAACCAAACCTATCAAAAAAATATCAAATATTTTTTTATTCATTACGAATCAATGTCACAGGAACTAATGCTTTTCAAGTAATGAAAATACTTTAGTCTCCACTTTTTTTTTTGCAGTGTGACTTAAATTACTTTCCGAAAAAAAATTAGTGTAGTGTGTGATTGGATACAACAAAACACTAGTCTGTAGTGATTCCTTTCAAATACTTTTTACGGTAGTTCAGTTAAAGTAACAAGATTCAAAAGCAAACAAATCTGAAATTCAGATGGACAAGAATCACAAGAGAGGAACATAAAAGTAGAATAACATTATCAAAAATTAGCACTTCCATATTGCTATATACACTGGACAAAATGCCTTGACTGACTGAACGTGAAGTTTTCTCCTCTTACTGAAGAAAAGAAAATTTCCTTTTTTTCTGTCTGCATTCAAATTAGAGCAGTTTTTGACGCAAGTGGAAACACCTTAAAACCTAATCCTAACTTTTCACTCATTTATTTTAGGTTATTGGAAATTCAACATTATCACCAACCTTATTTTTGCCCATTCATTCTTTTTATAGAGGAAGGGAGAAATTTGGAAGAAAAGACTAGCTTCAACTTCCAACATATGAGTCTAATCTTCATTTTAAAACCACAAAGCCACTTAATTTAAAACCACTTTGTATAAAAGATAAACTAATAAAAATTTAAATTTTAAAAATAATTTACACAAAACTTTGCTACACCTAATAATAGCTAAACAATGAGATTTCCTGAATCAGTCATGTGCTGAAAATTTATAAAACACTCACTGATTGGGGAGTTGTCCAATCAGTGATAAAGGACTCACCATAACTTATATCCCATAAATGTAATTTTTCTAAGAATGGCATATGGCCTCATAAAATTCCCAAGCAAAAAGTAAAGTTAAGTGGCATAGTTTCATAAAACTTAGCCACTTACAGAAATAGAGAAGCGTAATAAAATTAAAAGTTCCAAGAAATTTTTTTAGAAGCAAGCTTTAAAGTATCACTCAGAGGAAAGAAAAAGCCACCAATTGTTCACAAGTCTCTTCTCTTCAGAAATGAAGAGTACTTTCACTACACCATGACAATAAGAAAATCTTTTGGAACTTTATTTCCCTGCATTGAAAATTATTAATAGAGCAAAATCTCTATCAGGGGTCTGTTTAGAAGAAACTTAGGTCCATTAAAATATTTCAAGAGGAGACCCTTCACAAAATATTTTATCTTTCAAATCAGACCCTTCACAAATTTGTTTATTTTCATTATTGTTTTGTTAATCGAATAAAACCTTCCCCATACTTGCCAACTTAAAAAAACTGCCATCAGTAAAACTTTTTCATGAAAAATTTAACGAAGACTATTCGAATTATTTAATAAGTAACAATACACCACAAATGAATAATAAATATATTAATTATAGAATCTATCACATGATTGAATGTTGATGAAGGGAGAAGCAAATTTTCATTAAATTTTTTAATTGCATTTGTTAGAAAATGTACAGAAATATCTAATCAACCATCCATTTATCATCTCAATTTCTATTACAATTATTTCAAATTCTATTACAATGATGCTACTTTTTAAAAAAATGTTATATGCAAAATAAAATAGTTCTTTAAGGGTTTTCCTCTAAATCAACAGCAAAAGAGGATGCTGAATTTAAAGAAGCTGAAGTAGCCTTCTTTGCTTTAATTAAAAAATCTTTTTCAAACACTTGTTCGTGACAGATTTTAGAAAATTTGGTTTTTAATATAAGCAGGCTTTCTAAAGTTTTATTAGACATAATTGTTCGCGATTCAGTACGGTTCTTTCTAACCAAACTAAAAATTCTCTCACATTCTGAATTTGAATGTGGTATGAGAAGAATTGACAATACAATGTTTCCCAATTTTTCATACTTAAACATGCCATCCGCACCTTTCATTTGACTTATCATTGACCACTGCACATCAATTGCTCTATCTGGAACAGTTATTTCACTCAAATCTTCCAACTGAAGTTGGCAAAACTGTTTCTGCAGTTCATCCATTGCTGTAAGCTTGGTTTCATTACTTTTTGTTTTTAAAAGGAAGGGAAACAAATTTACAAAATATCTCACACTTTCAAAACTGGAGTTTTCAATTTTATTCAAGTCAGCAACTTCAGCATGTTGGAGTACTTGATCATTTAAAGGGAATTTCTTAACAATATATTCACAGGCAGTTATGAAATATTTGATAACAGCTGAATAAAACAATGATTTTTCTTTTTCCGAAGAATTTGAAATCAAGTCCATTGCTGCGCTGCCTATAACTAAATTTTGCTGATCTTTATGGTTGAAAGAAGAATGAAAATTAACACATGTTAACTCTTTTCCTATAACCTCAGAAGGTTTAACAAATTTGGAAAAAAGTTCTTTTAACAGATCCAAAAGAAGAGCTCTTAGTCGATGAATTTGTAGGGAAGATGACTGCAAAATCACATTTACCTTTTCAAATGTAGGGATAACACTTAAAAGAAATAAACTGAAGCACTTATTTAAATTTGAAGATAAAAACATAAAAATTTTCTCTTCTTTGGATAAAGTTGAATCTTTTTTAGCTTTGTCTTTTAATCTGAATCACACTTTCTTGCTGTAAACTTTTCCTTTTTTTATCATTAGTTGGGTCCTGTTTATGTGTCAAAGGCTGTTTCATTATAGCACAAGTCTTAGTTTCCACTGCAGGTTTATCCTTTAATTTATCTACTCCTGTGCTGCTTTCTTTATCAACTACTTTTGGAATTTTGAAAAACGACAAAGTAGATGATACAGACACACTGCAAGTAGAAACTTCAGCTCTAAAATAACTCATAAGTGGATCTCACTGATTAACCAAGCGTGTAAGACTTTTCCCTAACGATAACCAGCGAGTTGACACATGTTTAAGCACTTTTTGTGCCTCTTTACCATACATTTCCTGAAATTTCTTAAGAGGGTCCTTACGATTAACACTCCCTTTTAAATGGTAAAAAATATCTACCAAAACTTCATCTATCCTAACGGGAAAAGTTGCAGCAGCTTTTTCAGAGGCAAGATGTATTAAATGGCAGCAGCAACCAATTGATATTATGTGCTCATTTTCTTTTTCTAAAAATGAAATCACACCATTTTTCTTTCCCTGCATAACAGAAGCATTATCTGCACTGAATGCTATACAATTTCTAAAAGGAATGTCATATTTAGCAAACACATTTAAAAGAAGAGAGCTTATATTTTCACCTGTGGAGTTTCCTTCCAAATTTGCGATTGCCAATAAAGTACTTTCAATGCGTTGAAGAGCCACGTTAAAATAACTCACCACAACTGGGTACAACTTATAATCAGTTTCGTGACTACCATCACATGCTGCAGTAAATGCTTGTTCTTGCAAATATTTAATAATTTCTGAAGTTCGATCCATAGCCATTTCATGGACAAGGGATGCAGTTTTGGTTTTAGCACATCCGTAACGTTTCGCAATTTCACTTTTCGGAAACATCTTTCGAAAAAGCGGACCCACATGGCTGGCGGCATTTAGAGGAACATTATGCTCAACTAAAAAAGAGGTCAACAATAACTCAGCACGCATTACTTCATCTTGGAGATTATCAGGTGGCTTAAAAAATAGTGCTTAGTCTTTGGTTATTTTCAGCGTTTTCAATGTTCTTGGCATGATTCGGTCCGGTCACGTGGCGATGTATATCATTTCAACCTCCGTGCGATATTAGAAAGTCCGAAAAACAAATCGTACAATAAGCATACTTTTTTCCTTTGTTGGATTTTTTTATGCCTGAAAACTCTGCAGTATAAGAATTCTTATACGATTGAAAATAAGTTTTCGTCGGTTTCATTTTTAACGCACACCACGTGATTACAAGCTACGTAGTAGTCGACAGTTCAGTACCGTTTTCGTTCGTTACTGAGGGAGGGAGGGAGAACGACGTTTGGATCGGCTAGTTCAGTGACGTAGTTGAAACGGGGAGTGCAATAATGACGGGAACAGCGCACTCACTAGAGACTGGAAGCAGCTAGGAGGGAGAAAAGGGGAAAAACCAATCAACTGGTTTACACGTGAACGTGTTGTTACTATGGTTACGAGGATAAGCCACTTACACGGGTGTGGTTACCGTGTTGCTTTGGAATAGATTGGAAAACTCATGTCATTTCTTCCGTTTTCCCCCTTTACAAATGGTTTTACTCTAGTTCCGCAGCAGCTGATAATCGCGGAATTTTGCCGATGCGCTAACCGTGCAACGTTAAAAACGGGGGATCCGTATAAATTTCAGGTTGAGCCGTAGGCCCGTAAAATTAGACGTAAATCCGTACATTTTACGGATAATCCGTAAAAGTTGGCAAGTATGCCTCCCCCCAGGGGGGGGGACGGTTCGAAACAAACTAAGTTTCCCCTAAGTTTAAATTCCAAATGCAGTATTCTAAGAAAATATTTCTAATTTTACAATCATGAGCGCATTCTTATTAATATTTAATCCTAATTTTTTTGTAAATAAATAATTGATCAATTTATATTTATTCATAAAATTAATTGACTATTATGTAAATAAAAACTTATTTCTGGCAATTTTTAAATAAAATATTATAAATTTAAGAATTGTTTAAGTTTACTTAATGCGTAACACATTAAAAGTGATACATTACTAAGTTGCGTTTTTAAAATATGTCAATTGAAATTATTAAAAATGCGAGTGATTTTGTTTCCATTATTCGTCCGAAATGAATATTCTGTGTTGAGCAGTACAGGGTAAATACCAAATATTTGTATGTTGCATCTCTAATTTAGTAGCAGCAATTGTTGAGCAGAATCTTGTATATATTTACAATTTTAAAAACTTCTTGAAAAGGTTTTTTTAGCAATTTTTGCAATAACAGGACCCTATTTGCGCAAAATCACAAAAGCAGGATCCTGGTTGAAAGAATGTGACTTAACGCTTATTTTATATTCACAAATTATGAATAGTTTTTTCACAATTTTACAAAAACAGAAACTTTTACAAAATGTCTGGACAGATCGCTGTTTATTAAGATATTTAAAATGCACAGGGGTGGAACAGCAACATAATCATTTGAACAAAAAAAAATTGTTTTGGAGCAAATTAAAATTTTATTCTTGGAGCAGGTTAGTTTTTAGATTCAGAGCAGCAAAAAGTTCTTTCAAAATTTACTTTTTGAACACATAAATTAACATTTTATATCATCCAGCTGAATATCCGTTCTTTGTAATGAACATTAAAGGATTTGCTACATATTAAAGACTACACCAATTACCAATAGTTGTGTATTAGACATCATTGGTGACACTATAGCAAACATTGGTGTTAAGCATTGGTGTTTTTACATTTCTCAGTACCATTACCCACTTAGTACCATTTCTTCATTAACTTTTATTTTTTGCATATTTTTTTAAAAAACTTCAATTAGTACTTATTACCTAAATTAATTAAACATCATGCACATAAAAATGGTACGGCAATTTATAATATTTCTCTTAAAATAAGTAGTACCCTTTTTCTCCATTAATTTTGCTTTTCAGTACATACACACAACTAATTAGTACATATACATAGATTTCTTGCGCATATTGCACGATTACCAAACAGCTATTAACAAATTAATTAATCATCATTTGTATCAGTAATAGTTTGGCAAATTTTACGTTTTTCCTAACGTTTTTCCATAACGTATTATCTTTCATTCAATTTATGCTGACTTCAAATTATTTAGTTTTATAGAAACACATTTTAAAAGCATAACTATATACAAAATGTGCTGTTTCAAATGAAGTATTTTACTATAGTGGTAACATTTTCCGCATTTGTTACCACGTTCAAATTGGTCATTTAGTTTACCTGACCTAAGAACTAAAAATTATTAAATAAAGAAACTAAGGAATATTAATATATTAAAGAATATTAAAGGAAGCAATTTTCTCCTTTTTACTAGAAATAGGGCTATAAGTTAGCAAACACTACTGATGTTAACTTTAAAATATTTGAAAAATAGAATAGTCAATAATTTAACAAAATTATGGCTAACCTTAACCAATGAGGAAAAATTTACTTAACGGAATTCTTCCAGAAATAAAGTCCTTAAAAACATTTTTCACAGGCTTTTATAATATTTAAATAAATATGCATTTTAAATAATTGAGTATATGAAATTCTCAAATATTTTAAGCCAAATAAAATTCTCACTTTAAATTTAACTTATTTACCACCACTGATAAAACCATACTATCATCAATAATATATAAAATCATCAATGCAGAGTTAATTCTAGAAGGGGATGGAAGGACACACTGCCTTGTTTGTTTTTTGTTCATTTAAACATTTGTCTTTCAAATTATGTTATCTTTAATGTGATATTATTATAATTCACGAATTTTAAGTTTCAGTAATCATTATTCACAATAATATCAAAAATCCACATCATTTTCTGATTGCTTTCTTACCAATTTTTGTAGTTTCTCATTTTTTGATATTTTTAATTTATTAAGAGGCAAAATGTTTTAAGGACAATCAAACTTCAGATAAGATAACTATTTGTTATAAGATAACTATTTGTTATTATATAACTATTTGTTATTATATAAGATTTACTGGAAAATTACTTCTTGACACTCTTGATTTCATTGTAATTTTTTTGTTCGACAATTATTTTTTTCAGCCACTTATTTTTTTCTTTTTCTAATTTCAATATTCGAAATTTTCAATTATTACAATATGCATATGTCAAATTTTAAGGTATTACTTTTAGACATGATCTATTCGTACTGATTCTATAGTAAATCCTATCATTTATATTTTTTACAAACCCTTTCAACATAGAAATTCACTCATTTAGTGTAATATTAAGTTTTTAATGCGCTCAATGCGATGGGAGAGAGAACTTTTCTTAATAAACATTTAGATGAAAAACAAAAATTGCTTGCTGCTTTGGAGCAAAACTGATATTTGAGCACAAATTTGGTGCCAAATGAAGCCAAGGTTTCACTTTTTGCTCGACTAATGTTATTAGAGTTAGGAGCAGCTAGGAGGAATTTTGGTGGAAAATGGTATTTTGGAGCAGGCTGAAGCAGAAATTTCATTTCGGAGCAATTTTAGCAGCTGTGAATGCTGGATTAGTTTGAAAGTGCAAATTTGAAATTTAGGAGTTGAAATTTGTGTCATAATATGGTATTAAAAATACACAATTTAAAAAAAGCCATGTAGAAATACGCAGCAATAACTGCAGAAAAAACATTAAAGGAAAGTAGATTATTGATGCAAATCAGCACATTAACAGTAATTACTTTAATACGCAATCTAACATTCGTTTCATAAAAACATTGCATTAAGATGCCAACTTGGAAATTATGATTTCCGTAAAATTCTTACATAACTTATAATGAATTTCAGTAATTGTCCGTCATAATAAAGTTTCATTTTATAACCTTAATACTAAAGATTTAATGCTTATTTTAATGGTACTATAAATTAAAATTTAATAAGAATTTACTCATTATATAATTATTTTAATAATCAATATTCTAAAACCATTCTGTTAATAGATAAAATTTGAGTTTAATATTAGCCTAAAAAGGTACATAATACATACTTGTATAATAGAACACAAAATAAGGAATTGAAACTTCAATAAGAGCATTTATTTATGTGTTTTATCTAAATCTAATTTAATACTTTGCTTTGCGGCTCTTATCTCAGCATCAGAAAATTTCCTTTCAAAACCCACTCTTTTGTTAAATGCTTTTGTCTTTTCTATAAGAAGAGATGACTAAGCGAAGACCATGAGCAATCGTAAAATCCATAGAACACGTGTCCTTCCGACACTTTTGATTTTATAAAATACGGCCATTCTACACTGTAATCATCACGATTACGCTGCTCCACTTTTGCTTTTTTGCTCATTAAATGTACATTAAAAATAGCGTAAAAAAAGGATCGTTTGTTTACGCTGACAGTAAGTACCGCTTATTTCTGTGCTGTTGATATGGCAGATCGGAAGTTGATGCTTGCTGAGAGCTAGAAGCGCAATGTTTAAAAGAAGCGTTCTCATTGCATCTGATGACGCATTTTTGATCACCGTCCTCATTTGTGTGAAGTCTCTGCATCGACCAATATGATTCAATGAGAATGATTCTTAAAGGGAATAATAAAGCAAAAATTATTTTTCCGTTATTTTGCAGGTGTAGCCCGTAATAGCGCAATGTTGTCAAAAAATCTGTAATAATTACGGTCAATCCGTAATAGTTGGCATCTCAGTATGATACACAAGAACATTATAGATTTAAAAAACCAGATGGAAATCAAACATTCATAGTTGAAAAGAATGAATGAAAAATCATGCAGATTTATTAACTTGCAGTGAGACGAGGTTTTAAAAAAATATTAGGATATTAAAAACACAAATTGAAAAATATGAAATAAAATTGAAATAGTCATCAAAGATGTGGTTCAGGTGACCTGACGTGTAGAGATTTGTAAGTCCTTGGTCACACAGGAAGTTGAAATATAAAAAGTTAATGTAAATAAAATTTAATATGTCCAACTTACCTTGCATCATATGCTTTCACTAACGCTGTATATTTTTCAATCATAGCAGGCATAACGGAAGCAATACCTGTAAAACACATAAAACATGATTCAGACATCTGAAAAACTACTTATATGAAAAAATTTTATGGTTATATAATTTAGGCTTAAAATGAAACATTTTTTTTCCATGTGTAGTTTTTTTATACTAATTTTACACATACATACACACACACACACACACACATATATATATATATATATATATATATATATATATACACAGAAGATTATTTCTGATAATTTAAATGAAACAAATTAAATAATAGACTAAAATTTTTATTATCAAAAGTAAAATCAACAAAATTAATAATTTTTTTCCATAAACATATAAAAGGACATACACAAAAGATGCTAAACCCAAATAAGCATAATTTGAAATTTTTAATTCGCGATATAATATAAATATGATAAAAATAAGTATGCGATTCTATTTCAGACAAATAAAAATAAAAGGGAAAACAAATGTACTACAGTAATGTAATATTTTTTGTTACATGTTAGAATTTGTAGCTATAACTCGTAATTGTAAGCGAACAAAAACTCAGACAGGAAAAAAACTGAGATTTGTTGATCTGATAACAAAGAAATGATTGAATGAAATCTGGCAAAAATTACACTTTACAGATTAAAATTACAGATTTTAAATTAACACAACTCCAAATAATTTTTTTTGAATAGAAATTACTGAAACGCCGAATTCCGTTAATCAAGAGTCTTGCAATTTGCAGAATACTGCAAATTAGCAGAAAAATCAGGTGCCTGATTACTATAAAGTCTTATTTTATACTGATGAAATGAAACAAACAAAACTGACAATTCGTTCTATTTTTCCAGATAAGATCATACGATTTTTAGAGAATTTGGCTTCGTGACTATAATAATAATTATTGATAAAAAAAAAATTTTAAATAGAGTTCAAGCAGTTAAGTCTTAATGAAGTAATAGAAAAATATTTAATAAGAATTTGACTCTATTTTGAACCAACCAATTACACAATTGAACCAATTTTATCCAACAATGTCCATAATCACACATATCAGAAATGAAGATCCAACATAAATTGATAAATGTAAAGAACTCTAAGTTATTGAAGAAAAATTAGATACCTCTACCATAAATCAATATTAATTCAATTGTTTTATATCTTTGAAAATTTTATTTTTTAACATCCAATAATGTAAAACAAACACTTTTGAATAATTAGCAAAGAAACTGAAAAACGAAGAAATGCCATTCATTTTAATAAAGGACACTAAGGATCAGATATTTTTTCTCTTAAATAATATTTAAAGAGAGCAAAAAACAAAACAAAAGAATTTAATTTTATTGGAAATTCAGATTCACTAATTTCACTTTTATATGCAGTCAGCTATTTGTTGCATACTTGGTGATTTTTTTCTTCATCCTAAAATAGTCAAAAATAGTGTTAAGCCTTTGCTTAAATTTGTGTAACTAACCACATGACGTTTTGTACTGTTACCTGATTTTCCATGGGGAAGTTCCATTACCTTTTTATTAATACATTAGATACTAGTGGAATCTTTACACCGGAATATTCCTAGTTTTTACAGAACTAACTTAACTGTATCAATCTATTAACTACTGTATCAATTTCACATGCTTCAATTTTTATTTGATAGTTTCATGATAATAGATTTAGAATATATTGAATAAGCAATCCATAATTCTTTTGATTTCTTCTATATTCCTTAACACATTACTTACTTTGTTTAAACAAATTTCATTTATTTCTATCTTAAATTTTATGAACTAAGCTCCTCAATTTTCAATTCCCACTAAATTTATTATATCAAATTTTTCTTCCCACATAAATATTTTCTCTTTTACACAATGACAGATAATGCAAAAATAACACACAAGCATAATTATCACTGAATGATTCAATCCTTCAACCACTTTTTTTTCCAATTGATTTCTGTTCCCAATACCATCACTGCAGTTTCTAGATAATAAGGCATTCCCCCCCCCCTATTCACATAAGTTTTTTAGAAGTGAATTCCTGCATCATGGGAGGCTTATCTCCAATGTATAGCTCTTTTCCTTTCTTCTGAAACAGGGGTTATAAAAATTAAGATAAGAGAGAGGGACAGATATAGCAAAAAGAAACACTTCAATTTTTATTTTGCATTTCTCCACTACAATTATACTGCCTACCCTTAAATTGAGTCCACTTTACTAAGAGGTAAATACATTAAATTGTCTATTCAATAAGACAGGGACCATTATAATTGTCAGATAAATAGAGAGTGTCTCCCATTTGGAATACAATTTTCAGGAAAAAAATACTTTGAATATTTGAGAGAGGTACAGAGCTTTTACAAAGAAAAAAAAAACTGAAATCATTGAAATAATTTCATCATGATAAAGAAAACCTAAAATGTGAATCAAATTTACTTAACAGACTTCAAATTGTTGTATCTTACCGTCTCTTAATCTTTGCATTGGTTCTCTTAATTTTCCATCTTCTTGATCTAGTCTTAATTTTTTTGCTCGTTTTTGTAAAGTTTCTTTAGTACAAGGAAGATGAGAGGCAAGATGGGCATAAATGATTGATCGTTGAGCACTAGTCAGTTCTTGAGCTCTTAATTCAACACTAAAAATATTAAGAAAATATTTGAAAGTATGCTGATTTGAAAAGATTTAACTTTTAAAATTAAGCCGGTAAAATCCTAACACCAAATATGATATTCTTTTGCACTGAGTTACTTTCGAGAAAAAAAACAAAATACTTTATTACTGTCAACAAGAACAAAATTTCACTAATATAAAAATTAAAATTCTATACTGAAATAAGCTATAATTATAGTGTACACTAAGAGAATTAATAATAAAAGTAAATAAAAAAAAATATTTTTTTCGTTTTAAAAATTTTTGTGCCAGAAAATATGCATAAAATAAATATAAAAATAATCACACATACATGAAAAACATACATAATAAAAATACATAACTTAACATATATAATAAAAATACATTTAAAAAAAAATCACAGAATATTGGAAGACCCTTTTTTAAGCTGCCATTCAGAATTTCGTTTTAATTCAATTCCATTATATTTTATTTACACACAAATTTCACAATCTACACAAATACTAGGTAAATAAAATACAAAGGTAAACATTTAAGTCAAAGTAAAGTAAACATTAAGTAATTAATAGTGCAAAAACATTGGAAAAGAAATTTAATTTCAAATTCTGATTGATTCCCAATTTCACAATTTGCATTTCTAACTACTGTTTTATCCTGTCATACAGACATCTTAAAATATTGCTTATTTTGTTATATTTAACAGCTTACTTGCTAATATTTAGTAATTTGCTAAAACAAAGCGAAGACTTAAGTCTAATGGAAACCTCCTTAATTGCAGCATCATAATAAAAGCGTGAGTTTTTTGAAAAAGAAAAAGAGAGATAGAAACCAAAACATAAACGTTCTTAATTTTTTAACAAAAGATTTTACAATAAAATCTTATCTTTTTCACTTTGCCGTATTTTTAGAAAAAAAATTATCATGAAAGAATAACATTCATTAGCCCTTTAAAAAATTCTGCCATAATAAAAATATTGAAAATTAAAAATCAAGCAAAACAGAAAAAAAAATTTGTTCTGAAATATAACTTCAAACATTCAGAATCCCCCTCAATGTTTCTTACTAAGAAACATTGAGAACTAGTAACATATTCTATCTTACTAGCTATCAGTCTTACCGTAGACAAATACCGTAGAGAAAAGACAATATCGTTGAAAAAGAGACAATAAAAGAATTAAGTTTATTGATAACTGTTGATTTTAATGTCTGTAAAAAAAAAGAATTTAATTTTATAAAATGTACTAAGTGATTTATGCAAATGACCCATATCACACTGGTAATTTACTTTGATTTGTTAGTTTATTTTTTTAAAAAAAACAATACTCATAAACGATTAAAAACTGGAATCAAATGCTATGTCTGTTTCAGTAAATAGCTATGACTATTTTCTTACAACACACATTTTCAGCTTGTCCACTTTCTCAAAACATGTATTTAGAGTAGCGTCAAAAAAAAAAAAAAAAACTCAGAAACGATATGTTAATAGGATAATCATGCATATAGAGCTATGCATTTTCTAATTATAAGTATTAATAAGAAGTAGCTTGAAATTAAACGTATATATAGAAGTACAATTATAAAGGCTGAAAGAATATAGAAAAAGAAGAAAGAAAAGCTCACTTAAAACTCTCCTAAAAAAATTGGTGAAATACATAACATTTAATAAAACTAAGAACTAGAATTCCACTGGCTCAGGGTAGAGGCGCACATGAAAAAAGAAATTTCATCCTGTACACTCACTCTTTTTATTATGTACAATGACTAAATGAAGTCTTACCTCAAAAGCATCCTGTTAACTTCATCACTAAAAAATTTACACTTTCCTTCTTCAGATCGGTATGCAGCCTGTAGAAAAATGAGCAATAAATTAATAATTGAACATAAAGCAAACTTAAGTTACGAAAAAAATGCTAAGTAGAATTTTTTCTTACTAAGAGTATGCATAAGTACTTATTAAATTTTAAATTCAGTTAAGAAAAGAAGCAGTTACCAAGTTCAAATTACAAAAATTTGCTTATTAATAAATTATGTGATTTTTAAATACATATGTAGATTAGAATTAACACAAACTCATATTTTTTTGCTCAATTACTTAAAAAATTTTTTTCATTCAAATTAATCCCTTAGCAGAACAAGGAATTTCGTGCTCAAATTTTTTCAATTTTACGACAGGGCAGAGGTCATATCTGCCATGAGCCCTTGGGCAGCCCAATAAAAATAGGCATTGTCATAAAAGGTACCAGAACAGATAAAACTAAAACGTAGAATAGCTTGACAAATGAATTAAGTTCATAAAAGCTCTTAAAGGGCACAAGGTGCAGTCAGAAGCATTGACCACAACAATATAACATAGGTGTCCGTCAGAGAAAGTCATTCTCAGTCAACTATATGAAGTTGGCAATGAAGACTGAGCGAGAAGAATCATTCGGAGTGCACGATGCTCTGAAAAAACTTTTAAAAACATTTTCGTAAAATGTTTTGTTCTTTGCAATAGCTATTCATAGTAAATTCTATTTTTTTTGCAAAATCACTTTGCTTCTATAGCCTATATTTGAAGGTTAGTTTAAAGATCAAAATTGTTAGGTGCTAGGACAGGGGGATACTTTGATGCATTGCAATGTTTTGTTACATTAATATTTTACAATTTGTATTGCGTAATTTTGAATTCTCACTTTCAAATAAATTGCATTTTTAAAGAAAAAGTTAAGATCACATCAGTGGCGCAACATATTGAAAATAAAGAAAAAATTGAAACACCCTGTGCAAGAAAAGGGACGTGCAACAGAAATAAGCCTGCTGCAGACTATTTTCTCCTAATACGTAATTAGGAATATAAAATCAAAATTAAAATGCACATTGAGACAGCATTTATAAAAATCTTGATAAACAAAAAATATAAAAAATTTGCTGATGAATTGAGCGATTGAAAACTAAAGAACAGCAGATGCCAAAAGGAATATGTAACTTTCAAATCATCCCCCCCCCCCAATTATAAATTTAACTCATTACTATCAATATTTTTTAAAAAAAGAATGTGTTAAGTAAAACGAATCATTAAGTAAAAAGAAGATATTATTAATTTGCAAACAGCAAGTTGCAATTTTTTTTATGAAACATTGCATTTTTAAATTTTCTAAAAATGATTAATATTTCCACTAAAGACAGGAATGTCCTTTCAAATTATCGATTAAAAAATGATGTCAAATCAGGAGAATTGCTCTTTATACCCACTTGAAACTATCAATAAGCTATCCTGAACAATGTTCTTCGTCCTGTACATAGACATCAAAATCTATGAAGCATTAAGAATCCTCATACACATTGCAGATAAATCATTATTTGCGATGCTTCGAAAAAATACCAAACCCTACATCAGATCACCTATGAATGCATAACATCAATATTTTTCAATGTGTCTATGTATCGTTCAGTCCTACTTAGTGCTGGATATATCTCATTGAATATTAGAATCACAGAGTAATGAGCAGGCACATTGATTTGATAAAAGCATCAATGGGGCATTAATCCTGCAAACAGCTCATTTATGTTCAATAATTTTTAAAAGCTCAGTTGATATTAATGAACACTCAGCTTATCCATTCACAATTTTTATACGTGTTCAAAAATAATTCTTTGAATTTTTTAACAATGTTAGGTATGATCATTTCAACAGACTGCTCCATATAACTTAATACATGATACACTAATGCTATTTCAGAGTTAGTACTTGGGAAGAAAAAATACGAGCATTAAGCTTTCATACATGGAATTTATACTACCAAATAATATTAACATCCCATGAATCCGTAGAACTTAACATAGTTGTTGGTATAACTTAAAATGCTTAATTGACAATTGTAAAATTAACAGAAACAAAAATATTTAATATTTTTATAAGTGCTGCCATTTTTATAACAGTTAAACATAAAACAATCAAGCATAGAAAGCTAGTTATTCATAATAAATATTATTCAAATCATACCTCTTTTAACTGAGCAACAACAACATCTAGTTCTGGAGGCAAATTTTCTGGCAATCTAGGAGCCTCTAAGTTTTCAGCAGGTATTTTAGCTTCCTCACCATCACTACTACCAGTAATCAGACCAGCTGAACCATTACTTGTCATATCTTCTGCAGCAGCTTTGACAACAGATTCAATTGCTTCAGATATAGTAGAAGCCTGCCCAGGAATTTGTAGCACTTGTGAAGGAGTTTCCACATTGTCTTCCTCAAATTCTTCACTTTCTACTTCACGCTCAACTGGAATGGGGATGAGCTGCATTTTTTTAATATTTTCCTGTTGTATGCGCTGTTGATATTCTTTGTGTTGTTGCAACATATCAGCTACAGTAAGCTGAGGTTTCTTCTTAGGTTTCATTAAGGCACTAAAACACAAAATTACAATATAAATGACAACATAATACAATAAAAATAAATTTACACCAATTTCAAAGTAAACTTAGTTTAAGATTATCATACATGGACATATGGTATGAGGTATTTAACAAAATTGACACTCTTGTTTACTGTAAAATTATCTTTTAATGCATTTTATTCTTTCAGCTACATTATTTTGATTTTTTTCTCCTTTTTAAATTTAGTCAAGATTTTTTTTCTTTTAATTACTTCCCTTTAAGATATAAAACTATGAAACTAGAATAATTTTAATGCAAGTTATTTAACTTCAAAAATGGTTTCAATGAATCAATCACTATTTAAAACAATTTTCTTTCAGTCAGTTTCTTCCATCAGTGGTTCATAAATGAGTTATTCAAGTGTCACACAACTAATGATAACGACTAATAAACAAGCCAGATCAATAGTAATGTGATATTAAAAACCAAGAGGCACTGGTAACAATCAATATCAATAAAAAAAAATGCCCTTAACTAAAATAGTTTTTTTTATGAACGTCATTGAAACCGAAAGTTGAAACTAAAAGTTATCAAAATTTAAACATTCCAAGATCTTAAGCCTATGAAAAAAACTGGTATGTAATCAAGGATAATCATTTTTTTTCAAAAGTGAACTGGTAATATGACTAATACCTGAAAACACAGTTCTGTACAAAAAAAAAACTTTGAAAACTTTTAAGGCATTGATTCCACCTCTTAGCTTCAACAGGCAAAAATTTAGTTAAAATGACTAAAAAAAAACTTTTCATAGCAATCTCAATTTCAGTAAAACAATTCATATAATTAATAATTCTCAAAAACATTTTCTGCCTAAAATGGAAACATCCATTTTAGACATTTTAAGTATGCTCTCTTTTTCTTTAGCTTTTTTAAGGTCTTCCAACTTTTCTCTTTTTCTATTCCATCTTTTTCCTTTTTCTCTAATTCCAGATAAAGATTATAGCTTTTGTAAGCAACACATGCTAAACATAAATTTTCTGAGATTGGAACCATCTCAGGCTTATTATTATATGCTTTTAAAGCATCAAAAACAGCCAATTGTGTAATCAGTGTTCTGGAAATCTCTCTCTTCTGATTATATTCTGACAAATTTGGAAAAAGCTTTTTCAGCATCAGCACTTCCATGAGCTAGTGTCAATACTGCTGTAGTGATTTTTTTAATATGCACAGATTTAAAATAACCATTAAGGCTTTGAACTTCAAATATGTCACTCCAAAACTCTTCAATTTGTTTTTCTTCAATAACTTCTAACTGCAGAAGTTTCCATTAATCAATTACATCTTCCATATTTGAAGGATATGGTAGCAAGAATACAATTTCTTGAATCTTTTTTAAACTGTATGGTTTTTTAATATTACTAGGCTTAATAGAGAACAATGTAGATAATAATTCTTTTACCAGTGTCTCTTTTTTCAAAATATAACACCCAGCAGTAAGAAAATGTTTCTGAACATTCAGCATGAAACTTCTTTTCTCTACATCACTGCAATAAATAAGACAGTCAATAATGTTTTTTTTTCCCCAACAAAATATCCTTTTGAGGAAACAAAATGTCTTGATCAAATATATATTTGCTAATACACATGTGCTTTTTTCAAGATACGTCAAAATTTCTGGTTTACAAACACTGCCGGCCATTTTCAGCAACAGTTATTTTATGCAATTATAAAGTTCATGCACTAAAGGTCTTTCATTTTGGGAAAATCTAGTATACTTGGACAAAATTGCAGAACTAGCGCAGACAAAATTTAACTCTGCTTTAATAAGTGGCCGTTTTAAAAGAGAAATTTTTTTTAATAACTTGCAGAATCTAATTTTCATTCTCTGAGAAGTACAAATTTCTAAAAGTAGTGTACAATTTCATCCCTATGTTCTAAAATTCTAATAATGGCTGGGTCTAAAGTAAGCCATTCGAAGTTCTTTAAGCTATTTTTCAACTAAAAAAGTTTGAAAATCTTTTTTAGCAGGCTATCCATCAAAATAGTGAAATAATGCAATAGCTAAATCAGAAGTGTTAGACCCAAAAACATTTAAACCATTTATAAATGCATTATGTAGCTTGTGGGTGTTGCAAAATCCCATATTTAACAATCCAACTCCTCTAACTGATTTTATTTTTTCATTCATTAGATTAAATATGGCCTTGTTAGCATTAGGTCCATCACTGGAAAGCACTATTAAGTTCGAAAAAGTCAAAGCTGCATTATCTATGGCATATTTTAGATGTTTTATTACATATTCTGCTTTTGCACGGCCTAAGAAAAATGTCTCCAAGTGACGAGAAAAAACATTTTTATTCTCCTCAGACCAAAATCAAACTCTAATACATAGCTTTTTGAAACTAGCATTGTTTGTAATTTTATCAAATTCTAAAATATAGAATGAATTTTTAATCTCATTCAAAAATTCATTCTTAAAATTGGGTGCTAATGTATCAATGATTAGGTAAGTTGCTTTAATTGGATTAAGTGAAAAGTGTTCCATAGAGGACAGAAATATACAATTAAACACCTTATCTATGTCTTTGCCCGTAGAATTTGGGATATTAGAAGAAATCTTTTCATACACCAAATTATTTCAGCTTTATAATCTTGATCTTTAATTCTCAGTATACTTACTGACGACATAATTGATGGATTAACGCTAAGCATACTACTTTTCATCAACCACTCAAATTTATTCATGCAATCATTTTTTAGATTGCTTATACAGTAGGGAACCGATTATCCGGAATGATTGGGACCATCGCTGTTCCGGATAACTGATTTTTCTGGTTTTCTGAATCGCTTCAAAAAGCAGTTTTTTTTATCGTTAAACCCAACTAAAAAAAAAATATTTGGAAATATTCTCAAGAAGAAGAAAAAACGATGAAGTAATACACTAATGATTATTTCCAAAATGATGGTAAGGTAAACATCTTTCAAAAAAGAAAGAAAAATCCTAAAATCTTATGAGGAAAAGAAAAACATTTTTTTAAAAATGGCGGGAAAATTTATCGAATTTTGTTCTGGTTTTTTGGTTTTCCAATTTTCTGATTTCCGGATAACGGGTTCTGTACTGTATTATCTTTTACTGCTAAAAATTCTATGTCTTTATAAAAAATGCAATCATATCTACAAAAAGGCTGAAAAAACTTATGTCAAATATAAATACAACATAAAGTGTGCACGCAGAAATATTTCTGCAGGGATATTTCTAACACGTGCAACTAAAAACTACAGCCTCCTCTTAAGGCCAAGAATTTCCTCTTCCTAATCCAACCACAACTCACACCTCTCCCCTTCCCACATAAACACAAAAGGAAAAGAATTCTGTCTCTCTCTGTCTTCTCTGAATTCTGTCTTCAGAAACGTTCCTAAATTTATACCCGTAAGGATAATATGAAAAACTTGGAATACCGGTGTATCCCCGGAGTACAATCACACCAGGTTCAATATTGTTTCCTTGTTTAAAATAATGTCATCAGATAAAATCTAAGAATTTCTCTACCTGAAAAGTGAGGCAATATACTCAGTAAATATGATATATAAAAATACGGCAATATATTCCATTGAAATGTAATCATAGATGTATTAATAAAAGTGCAAATAGGTTCATCATATGGAATGAAAGGAAGTATTTTACTTTATAAATAATGCTTACCTTTCAGAGTCACTAAATGGTTTTCTTCCTCGACGTTTTTGATTTTCGTCAAAACCAAATCGACGCTTTTTCTTTTCTTTATCTGTGCCTTGTTTAATTCTCTAATGAAAATAGATTTAAATAAAATGAAAAGAGTGAAATAAATCTAAAAACATGCTTATTTGAAAATGTGTTTTTGATATGTCTCTTGACTCTGCTGTATCCCATTCATAGCCTCTAAATTTAAGATATTAGGTTGTACTTAATTCTGAGGGAAATCTGTTCTTACTTCTTTTTTACATTTTGATGCCTATTGCATGTCTGATGTTTTCAATTCATGCACTGTTTACTTCTGGTTCAGATCATGAAAACTCAAAAATTAGATGATGAGCCTCTTAAAATCAAAAATAGATAATGAGCTTGATAATTGGAATTATGCATGATACATTTTTATCAACAGCATAATGGGTTAGATCTGATATTTAAAAAATATTATAAAAATTTAATGAATTACAGGGTTCATGCAGAGATCAGCAGAAGAAATCCAAGGAGTCCAAAATTTTAAGGACTTATCAAAAATTTAAAAACTTTGCGTAAAAGGTAACTAGACAGTTTTTTTTTTAAATTAAAAAGCAGTTATTATAAAGAACTTCTAAAAATGTATATTTTGCATAAGATATTTTTTCTAGCTCTTTTGAAATAGATTTTGACTATGTCAAACTTCATCAAGAACAATAAATAAAGTTATCACTTTCTCACATAAATAAATTTTCAAGTTTCATATATTTTAATAAATCTTGTTAAAGTACATAGCATAGATGTTAAAGATTAACATAAAAACCTACCAATCTTATATTTTTAAATTTGAATATATAAGAAAATCTAAGGCATATTATACAAAAAAAAAAAAAAATCAAAGTGAACCATTAATTAAGTTTGTGTGTAACATGCAAAATTATTATTATTTGCTGTTATTTTTTTCTTCCAACTCTTGCAATTAATTTTTTTTTCTTTTAAAGTTTTTATACTTAAACTATAATAGATTTTGACAGCTAAGTCATATCATTTAGTTTCCCTGCTTGGACAGCATAGTCATAAGTGGACTTAGTAAGTTAATCTATGCAACACAATAATCTAAGGAGTTTCTAAGGACTAATTTTGAAATCTAAGTAGTTCCAAGTACTCCTTGGAGACTTTTTTATATCCAAGGAGTTTCTAAGGAGTATAAGGAGTCTGTACGCACCCTAGAATTAGCATCAGCGATAGAAAGTTTATTCCACAGAGGAAATAGCAGGGGAAAAAACCACCCTCAGAAAAATATGTTTCTTCATACACAAGTGGAAGAAACTCTTTTGAAAACAGAAATACCAAATAGGTTATCAATTTTTTTAAACATTTTATAATTGAATTATAGTAAATATGTTTTCGATTATATACTTAATTATAAATAATAAATATATTAAAAAAACTAATAATTTCAAAGCTATTTTGATACATACTTTAAAAAAAGAAAAACTAAGATGCAACAATTGGAAAGAAAAATTATTTAGAAAATAAAATGTCACTTTTTATATTTCATGAACAGTGCTCAAAATAAAAAACAGGCTTTCATGTTCTAGGACTCAATGGTTTGAAGGGGTGACCTCAAATATACTAATTAATAGTGCATATGATATTTAAAGTCAGAGAATAAATATTCCTTTCTCGATTTCAGATTTTTGACCCTCAAAATATGAAGGGTGCAACGTGGGAAATATGGTCCCAATAGTTTAGCAAGAGAGCACTCTAAAGTTTTAATGGACCCCTTAATGTTAACTTTACTTATTGCGTGTTTCACTAGAACTCAAGAACTTTTTAAGCGAACCGAAAAATTTTAGGCACTAGGTCAAAATTTGGTCACAAAGTTAAACTAAGATGTTATTTTTTAAAGCAGAGAACAAAGACCTATGGCTTTGATAAATTTTAAAAGATAGTGATGTATCGGGTCACCAAGTAAAGATTGAAGATTAGGGTTAAAACTGCCAAAAAGTTTTTTTCTCAAGTATTTGAATCGTCTGCAGTCAGTAAAAATATGCTTAATGGTGATAACAACTTGACAGAATGAACAAATAGGTGCAGGCTCGTTCTTCAATAAATGCATATGGGTATATCGTGAGTGGCCAATGCGTAGCCTGTTTATTAAAACACGAGTTTTACGGTCAATTGATATTATTTTATTGCTACCAATAGAAGGGAAAATTTCATGTAATTTATTATCATTTTGTGTATTCCAGTGTTCTTTCCAGGCTTGATAAACTGATGATTTACAAATTTGCTTGATGTCCAATGGTGCAAAAACATTCCTGCTTATATTATGAGTACTTTTTGCAACTACATCAACACATTCATTCCCGTGTATACCGACATGGGATGAAAATATAAAAATACAAATATTTATAATTTTATTTAATATCAGTCAAAAAAATTTGAATTGCAAGGTATAAATTTTTTTTTCATTATTTTAAAGAATGTAATTTTATGTGGTAAAATAGAAAACTTGATCATTAAACATCAGTTCCATAGGTTCCTTGGAAATGAATTTAAAATATGACTTTTTTAAAATTGGATGTCTCAAAGAACTAGTCAAACAATCTTGCTCAAATTTCGTATGCTAGTGTGTAAAATGACATTCTTTGAAATAAAGTTTAAAAAAAGTATTCCTTACAATTAAAAATTTTTCTACTATTGCTGAATAAAATAATAAAAATTATTTACTTCAAGTTATTTTTTGCAAGAAATTAACTTTAGATAAATGAATTCCATAATTGTGTGCAAAATTTTTTAATTCACTTAAAAAGTTTTTGATATATGTTGAAATACACAAAAAGTAAAATTAGCATTAAGGGATCCATAATTTGGATTGCACTCCTGACCTAACTAGGAGGGCTTTATGTTTCCCAGATTTTGTGTCTGATTTCATAACTTAAAATATCTGCATAAATTATTTTGCACATTTGAGGTCACCGTTTCAAACTATTAAGATTAAGTCCTAGAACATGAAGGTCTGATCATTAGATCAAAAGTTATTCAGGGTGGTCCATTTATTTTCTTGAGCACTGTAGAGTAACAGAATTTGTTAAATTACCAGTCTTAAAATATCAAAAAAAATTTAAATTTACAAAAACAAACAAATTATATTCTATTTTATAATCTCATATTGCATTAAAAATTGAAAATACTTTTATTAATCAAATACCTACTGTGAAATGTGAGTATTCAAAACAAGTCCTAGATAATATGTTAAAGATATCTAAAAATAGATATTTTCAATACAGATTTCATTTTAGCATAACTATAAAATTATAGGTCAACCTGTGAAATCTTAAATGTAAATTTTAAATAAAAGTTATGAGTTTTCTCCATTTAAGTTTCTCTAATTTCTTAGAACGTCCTTAAAGAAATTTCAAAACCTATTAATAAGTCTTTTATAAACAATAGTTCATTATATTCAAATTTATTGAAAAATAATTTTTAAAAAATAAAACTATAAAAGTAATATTACTGAAAATAATCATTGCAGTAGTACATAGCTTGCTTAAAATTTATTAACTAATCAAGTAGATAGTAAATCAAATGGGTATTAAAAAGAAAAACACTTGCTTAGTAACTAAAATTTTCTTTTATTTTTACAAGGGTTCACACTCAATTTCAGAAAAAAAAAATTCCCACCAGATGCGAGGTAAAATTGGATAGAAATTAAATATAAGATATTTTATACATAGAAAAACTCATAAAACATTTTCTCACATACCTTTTTCCTTGGTTTGCCATCAGTACCATTTTCAGATTCAGAGTTATTCCTAAACTCTAATTCACCTTTGTTGATATAGAACCCTCCAAATTTGGTAGATAAACTTGATGGCACGAGTTCATCATACTGCAAGAATGAATTTCATTGTAGACTAAAGTTAAAACACATTAGTTTCAGGTTGTATTGAGTGACTAACTAAAAACTAAATCTAAAATTATTTTAAACTTGAAAAAAAATACTTTATTTTAAACATGAAATAAATGTCAGTTCTTAAAAAATATTAAATTACATCAGTTTTTAAAGCTTTCACCTTCAAATAAAATAAACAAAAAAATATTAAAAAGAAATAATAAAGATATTCAAACAATGTGGCAAAATAAAATACTGGATTAAATCATAATTTAAAAATTTTTTAATTGCTAACAATGATTAAATTTAGAATTAAAAATGATAATACAAAAGATGCCTCAAATAACATTTCAGTAAATCTTATACATACAGCTTCCCCATTATCAATGAATGGATCAGTCTCGTCATATCCCATCCCTTTGTCTATATAATCTTCAGATATGGCCATTTTTTTCTTTTTCTTCCTACCAGGCTTAGGGTTCTATAAAAAAAAAATACACATTCTAATTATATACAATGGCGTGCAATTTTTTATTATTATTTATTGACAATCTACTTCTTAAATTAATAATGAAACAGTCAAGTGCTAAGAAGGTAAGCAAAAGAACTTACATATTTCTCTTCAAATTTTCTAGCGATTGCTTGCAATTCCTCCACATTTTCATCGAGAGAAAATGGATCATCACTGCCAATCTGTTTAGACTCTTGTTCAGATGACTGAAATTACATAAGTAGAAATTACATAATTGTTAAATTAAGAAAACTAAACTTATGCTATTTTGAATTTATTTTAATTGCTTAGTTAAATATTTGCTTTATAAGCAACACAACTTTCTAAAAATCTCTAATTTAATGGAAGAAAATCTTTTGCAGTTATTTTTAAGCTAATTAAATTTTAAGCATAATCCATAGATATCAATATTATGTATATATGTCACGGTGAAAGACCGAAATCAGTGGTTGTTGACTTTCATCAGTGAATGTCGACAAACACCAAATACGTCGGTGAAAGATCGAATATTTCATTACATTCTTGTACATTCGGACCCTCACCGGTGTATGTCAACAATCACAGATATGCTTTGGTGAATGTCCAAAATATTTATTACATTTGATTTGATATGAGTTTATTCGTGGATATAATTACATTTATTCGATATTTTAACCCTACACTGATGTTTTTATAAGGTAAAGTGACACTGCCCGGTATACCCTACACTGATGTTTTTTTAAGGTCAAATGCCATTGCCCGGTATATATTTGCCCGATACTCCAAACACTGATGTTTCTTCTAATCTATCGTCAGTAAGTATTAAAATATAGAATAAATATAAATATATCAAATAAATATAATATTAACGAATAAATTAATATAAAATTGGATATAACAAATATTTCGGACATACACCAAGCGACTACGTGAATGTTGACATTCTCCAGATTTCGGTGTTTCACCGTAACATATATATAGATATATACCCACAAGCAGAAATTCTACACCATGGCAGTGTCGATCCTGCAGATTACTTTTCTTCTCAAATTAAAAAAAACCAACCAGAAATATTACAGAGGCAACAGAGAAAAATAATTTTAAAATTTTTAGTAGATATATAAGCAAAAGAAAAATGAAGACATCAGATACTGTATAGTCATTCCATTTTTCAATTTAAATTATTCCATTAAATCAAAACTGTATAAAGATGTACGCCTATTTTTACAATAATATTCTATGCCTGACTGTCTTATGGCCGTAGACAAATTTGAATTTATAAAACTTTTACTGCAGTTTGACTCTGTAAATTCTGCTACCAAGAATATCTACAATGGGTGGAAAAGAGAAGAAAAAAAAGGACCACCCTGAATAACTTTTGATCTTAAGATCAGATCTTTACGTTCTAGGACTCAATCTTAATGGCTTGAGGAGGTGACCTCAAATATGCTAATTAATTAGTGAAAACGATATTTTAAGTTACAAATTCAAACACAAAATCATTCTCATTCTGTATAAACATTTGTTTTCGGTGGATTGAGATTTCTGAAAGAAAAAAAATTTTGGCCATTATAAAAAACCTGGGATTTTTGTTTCAGCTTTGGTAAGAGTTGCCTACACGTGGTACCCTCAGTTCCTTCTAAAAGGCTTTCTTTGATTTCAGAATTCCTTTCAACAAGAAAGCAGATTCACTAGCAAAATTAGTTTTGTCTCTGCCACAACCGACACTAATCTCTCCATAAGAAATTGCAAATCAAGACAAAATTTATAACTTCAGACTACATAATTAAACAATGTAGATTATCAGGCCTCAAATAAGCGACGCTGAAAAGTTTAAATCAAGCGACTGCATTTTCTTCAATTTAGAACCAAAAATTTTGAGTTACTCATTTTTCACTCATGAAACCATTGTTTTTGAAACAGTGAACCCTTATGGCAATCTTATCTTGATTTATTATTATTATAATGAACACATTTTGATTAAGTTCTTATTTTTTATATGGTTTTGATGACCAAAAAGTTCTTTATATTGCTTTATATTGTATCTGTTTATATTTAAAAAATTGTTAGAGCAAAAATTTTAGTCTGGATAGTATTTCTAGGGCATAAATAACATACCTTGCTCTATAGCAAGTGATATTCACTCTATAGAGAGTAATAAAAGCTACATATTATTTTGATAAATGAAAAAATCTTTCCCTTTAGTTTTATTTTTAACTTCTTTTCCGATATTTTCCGTTTGCAATTTTTTCTCTGTTCATTTTTTTTAAAGAAAAAAAATCTGAGGTGGAAAATAATATGCAGAGTGTGATGCCGTGATCGACAGTTTCTGTTACCAGAGAAAAAAGAATCAACTTTTTAACCCAGACGTCTTATAGACCTTTTTTTTAGTTTTGGAACTGTTATTTTAAGCATTTTGCAAAACCTTTGATCCTTTGGTTTTCTTTGGGCAAAGGTTCATTCAAGTGGGCCAGTTTGGAAAAACCCAGGGGTCTTTCAGATTGAGCCTACTTGAAAAAAACCAATCAAAGATTTACTTATTTACGAAAAAAAAATTTAAAACAAAGTGGGTTTATCCACATTTTACAAGCTCAAATAGCATTTTCAACCAATTTTCTTTCAATTATTAAACAAATTTGTTCTGTTAAATCAGCAGTTCCCATTTTCTTTTAGCTATGGAACCCTATATGATCAATCTTCAGTTAATGGAATCCTGAATTCTTAAATTCATTCATTAGCAATTGTAAAAATACAAACCATTAATCGTAACAATAGACACATAAAATAAAGCACTCAATACATTTAAATTTGATCTGAATTATTTTAAACTTAGGTTTAGTTCCACAAGAAGATTACGATGCAAAACATGATGACTGCTATTACATTCAAGAGAAAATATACTTCATTCTTAACACTATTGTCACTTGTCATAATCAAAGCAGCAGTCTCATTCTTTTATATTCTGTTTATTTTTGCAATCAATATGTCATGTAACTTTCATTTTAAGTCTTTAGAAGTTAATTGTGAGACTCTAAAAATTTTGAGGCTCACAATCCAGCCCTAAAGAAAGCAATATTGGAATTTTACTGATATCTGTACTTTCATCTATTGCTAATGCAACCTTCCTCTTTATGTAATAACTAATGAAAATTTTCTATGCTGACTGAAATATTATAAATCCAATCAACAAACAAGTCGTAACTTTTGAGGGAACCTCTGGGATCAAAATAAAAATTTGAGCGTTATCTGTCCAAACAGTTCCTAATTATCCAATTTTTTCAAAACTTGAAAGCTTACAATTTGATTTCTCAAGAACTATTCAAGCACTTTTACATAAATTTTATATTTTTCTTTTCAAAATTATATTCTTTAGAATGATATAGAATTTTTCATACCTGATGATGTAATCTTAAAATATATACAGTCCAAATTATTAGACTCACTATAAGATTTCATGTAAAATCTTAATTATCAAGTGATACTAGGCAGCCTTATTGTGTGTTGCGACTGAAACCGGCTTACACTTGGTTATGTTTGTGTATCAATTTGTTTAAATTGTAATGCAATACGTTAAAATTAAATAATGGGAAGTATATGGAAAATTTCTTGAATTAAAAACCACTACATGTTTGCTTAAATATAAAAGTATTGCACATAAATTCATGCAAAACATACAATTATTAAAACACTACAGTGCATCTAATAATTTGGTTTAATTAATATAATATACTAATAAAATACCTGATAATTATTCTATATTTATATAATATATAGTCTAATTTATCCAATCATTAAATTTATATGATATATCGTCTAATTTAACCAATTGATACACGAATGTAAACAAGTGCAAACAGGTTTCAGTGGTGTAAAACAATAAAGCTGTCTAGTATCACATGATAATTAAGATATTTAACATAGAATTTTATAGTGTCTCATAAGACCAAGGACTGTACTTGGAAAGCTTATAAAACAAATTATTAAAATTTAGCAGTTATTCACTGCAGAAGCAAAAAATCTACTTAGGATAAAGATTTATCATTTTTTGTACATTTTATTACTAAATCTATAATGACGCATGTTGTTATAGATTTATTAACAAAATTATTATATTATCAAGATATATAATGAATTTGCTCCTTTTCTACCCTTCCTCAAAATACATCGATTATACCTATCTGGGTCTGGTACTATATTACTGTATTGATTAATTCTAGGCGGCTATTTCTGTATCGTGATCTGTTGCGCCAACTACAATCGCCAAGGTGCCAAATAGATTTCAAACTTGCAAATTCCTTTAAAAAAAAAAACATGTAGATATTTGCCCAGGGTGGCTACGACTTGGCCCCTTTCTGTAAATTTTTTTTTAAGTTTCTCGAGGGCCGCTGCCCGGAAGTTGTCAAGATTTGGCGATTATTCTGCTACAGATCAGGATACGGAAATCTCTCAGATTCTAGTTTCTCCTACTCTTTTTATAATTCCTCTAGTCCTTTCCACTTTGTTCTTTTAGCCTCCAGTTAAAAATAGCTTTCTTTCAGATAAATTGCCAACCCTGCCCATAAGTGTAAGCATGTTTGAAATATGAACTTCATACAACATAATTTTCAGGTGCAAATATGAGACACAAATCTTGAAGTTGTAATAACATATTTAAATTTAGCATGCAATTCTGCACTTGCTTTCTATGTGAAAACAGAAGAAAAAAATCTAAGCCATATTTCTAAAGTTAAAAAAATTATACCAAAATGTTGACCAATATAATGAATGGTAGGTCTTATTTAAACAAACTATTGAAATATTATAATCAAATTTTATTGAAGTAATTAAATTAACAAATCACAGACTAAATTGACAATTACATACAAAGTGTATACCAATTAAGATCAAATGTTAAGTAATAATACTCAGAGTTGTAAACAATATATTACATAAAATACTACATAAACTTAACATATGAAAATTGCTAATTCTTTAAAAGAAAAATTAATTTTAAAGTCTCTCTATTTTTTTATAACAAAGTTTGCAACTAAGAACATGTTTTATACACGCCAATGCAAGCTTTTACACTTTAAAGAATGAAACAAAGTACTTTAATTAAAAAGAAAATTAAATTAAGCATTAAAAGTATCATACGCATTCTTTGTTAACACTAAAACAAAATCTTAAAATGGAAACAGACATTACTAAGTAACAGTTGTCAACATGATAAATTCCATTAAATTAAAAATCTAATTACCTATATGCATCTAACGTATTAACGAATAAAATAAAACAATCTGGTTATGTTTAGATTACGTTCAAACCAGTTATTAAATATTGCATTACTTAAATTAAATAGTTCATTTTCATTAATTACTATGATAATGAACTATTTTAAGCGGATGTTGTCACTTTTTTTCTTTGAGTTTTACTCATAACCCTCATGAAGATAATAAGCATATAAGCATTTTTAAGCATGCTAATACGAGCTCTAAAAATGTTAAGTATGGCAACAAGTACTTTATTAATGAAAAAAATTAAGCATTTAATGTTTTAATTGCTTTCTTTGTAAATATAAAAAATAATTGTAAAATGGTGACTATGCAGGCATTACTATGCTAATAGTTTGTTTCACATACAAATTAAGAAAGTGGTAATATACAAAAATACTTGAAATTTCATTAAGTTTATTTAACCATCCAATTATCTATAAGCCCTGTGAATGTAGTAAATCAATCGCCAATTTATTTTAAAATTATGATCAAACCAGTTGATAAGTACAGTTGTGCAAGATTTCAGTTAACATGAATAATTTATAATTAAAAAAAAAAAAAAAAAAAAGANAAAAAAAAAAAAAAAAAGTTAGAAAAAGTTTATCTAATAAAACGAAAATCAGCTGTCAATTTTTATTGCCTATTCTTAAAGTTTTACTAAATTGATATCATGAAAAAAAGAAGCAACAAATGAAAACAATATGAACAATTTCAATAATGATTCTGTTGCTCAAAACGGTATTAATTGTACTACAATGTTAAGACATTGCATGTAAACAATACAACCGATTATTTTTTGCATTCGACTGACTCATTAATATAAATTAATCTTAACACTAATCAGTAATCACAACAAAAACAATTCTTTATTTTAATATAAAAAACTAAAAAATAATTAATATTACAAAAGAAAACAAATTAGCGTAATTACTACGAAGCATTTTTGATGAAACTATCCTACAGCAAAATAAAAAACCGGGAACCACTTATTAAATAAAAATCAAGATACTATGTATTTTGCGCAATGTATTAGAAAGTAAAAATACAACCCTATATAACAAATTAATTAACTATAAGCGACTAGACCAGTTACATTTTCCCGCACCCTTCCAAATATGGCGACCATTTTATTAGTCGACGACGTCATACACGAGACATTTTCATCGGTAATTCCAAGTGTGAAAATAATATCCTGTCTACCAGAAATCGATTAAAACTAACATTAACTAGAGCCTAAACATTGCATTCATTTTTAATGTGTTTAACACATAAACAATAAAGTTATTGTATAGCATCAAGCCGTACACAACACAGCAAAGCGAAAAAATTAGCTATATTAAAACACATTTCTGCTTCTACCAAGCATTACAAAAGTATTTGTTTCTTCTAAACAGAGATTGCCATAAGATACTTACCCGAGCTTCTTTCACTAACTCCGCATATGAAAACTCGGCACAGTCTGTATTCTTGTCATTTACATTTAGATTCAAATCAAACCTAAAAGTTGGAGGGATTTCTTTCACTTTTTTTTCACGTTGCAGGGCTTTAGGTGCATCTAAAGTTATCCGCTTTGATTCGGCCATGAGAATATGTACAGTTCTACGGAGAAATCATGTGTTATTTTCCCAAACACTACAAAATATTTCAGCTTTCACTCACTACACAATTTCACCGTGACCATCTTTCAGTGTTTTCACCTCTTAACACCGGCTCTTCTGCGCATGCGTCAGCTGTGGGTTGTGGCTGCCATTAGATATCTGCTAAACAACACCACGTGTATCCATTGTCATTTTCATACCCCATTCTACTAGCATACAATAAAATTCTCCCATCTAACTTTCTCCCCTAACTGTTTATTTTCTGATTACATTTTTAAAAACAGCTGGAAGAACTCAAAATTGTTGGGTCATGAATCATAAATATCCTTGTTGATAAAGTAGAAGAAGAAAAATAAAAGAAACACAATTTATAGTTATCTGCGGATTATTTTAATTTTTCGTATTAGTGTGATTTTCTTTTTTTATTCCAAAAATAGAGATTACTTAAGAACGCTGACAGCAAAGATTATGACATAATTGATTAGACTCTACTCGGAAGTTCTTTTAAGTTTATTTTTTTATTTAGCAGTAACTTTTATTAGAACAGCATAGGCTTTCTGAATGGAAAAAAGATTGATACTCTACATTTATCGTCCTATACCATTTCATTATTCTAATTAAATGGTATAATGTATTTGATGTAAGATTAAAATAATTGCTCCTTAAAGACATTTAAATATTTTTTTTCGTGCATGCATCATGACTTAGTTTTCTGTTCTGTATCTTTTACAAAGCTTTGTCTTCGTCAGCAGTTGAGGCTTATGATCCCTACCGTACCAATCGATTAAAACTAACATTAACTGGAGCCTAAACATTACCCTCTCGTTTTTAATACGAAAATTAAAAAAGTACATAACACTAATTAAATTTATGCATTAAGTAATGATTTTGATAATAAATCTATTTATATTTAATTTTTTTAATTAAAATATTACTATTTTTACTGAAATAACAAGTATTTTTACTTAGATACTACAAATATTTATTTTCTTAACATTTTTGCAAATATGGGCTGTTTTAGTTTTTGTAACATTTCAACATTTTCGGAATTTCTTGTTTCAAACACAGTTTCGTTATAACATCTTGCAAGTTGTAATTATGATACGCGTTCATAATTATCTGCAACACGTTTATAGGCAATAAGACGTTTCTGTTAAAAACAAACAATGTAAACGAATGCTTATTGAATGCTCACTCTTACAAAATGTTTGAAAATATTAATAAATGTCTTTTAAAATTTTTGAAAAGCTAATAGAAGATAATAATTTATTAATGGCATTATTTAACAGATTAAAAAATATTCTTTTATCGGCAGGTAAAGAGAACCAATGAAATTGTTTATTATAAAATCAAGATCTTGAAACGATATTTTATCGCATTTAAAGAAGGAATATTTTAATAAGGTGTTTCGTATTTGATAAAAAAAACAGGTTTGCATAATTGTTTTAATAACAAGAAAGTTAATAATTACAAAATCTACTTTTTACAAAGATTTTCTACTTGAAGATAAAATTACCTTTCAATGATAATATAATTACTCACCACTGATGATCATTCATAACTTTCCCATTTACAAGGTGAATTCACCAGCAAAAGACTGAAGACAGAATGGGAGAAAGATATTCCTCATTCACCTCATTGAGGAGGAATTATTCAGTCCTCAAAAGAGGAGCGAAAAGAACTAGAATGATTCATTCTGTGATCCGATAACAGTTTTTATATGAATAAATGATCTTTTAGAAATTTAGCATTCGAAAGGAACAATATTTTATTTATTATTATAATTTTTTTTTTGAAGATATAATCTTGGAAATTTATCTTTGCTGTGATATTATGTAGATATGTGTCATAAATTACGTAGAATGTAGTTTTAAAAAATGACTGCTATTTGTATTTTTTTTTAAAAGGATAGTTATTTATTTTTATTTATTTATTTATTTACGATACTTGTATGTTTTACTCGAAGGAAAATTAAAAGAAAAAGGGTAATATTTATGACTTTATTCAGAGAAGTTCTTTTAGATTACTCTATAATCTTGTAAACCTATTAAGGTGAATAGTATAACTTTTTTGCACATTTGAAATGTTATTCATAAAATTAAAAAATATTGTGCAGAGAATTGCGCAATGATGGAGCATAGAGCAATATCTATGAAGATGAAATGTATTCCTACTATCTTCCTTTTTTATTTATTTTTTTAATTAATTAATTATTTTAACCTGGAAACTTCTAATTGATTGTACTACGCTGATTCGTTGATTTTGCTTAAATCATTAAGGGTTTTTTTTATTTTTTTTTAATTCCCTCTTTTGCATATCTGAAGTTTACTCGTCGCAAGACTCCTAAGAAAATACTAAGTTTAAGAAATTATAGGTATATCCCCTGTTAGACATGATTAAACCATTAGCCACATGACGAGTCAACGGAAAAAAGTATCGACTTAAACTAAAGCAAGCGATCACCTTTTCCCGTCTTTTTTATTATTATTATCATTTTATTCTTAAAGTTTTTTTTAATCAGTATGTTCAACTTAATTTTGTCATATATTTATATTATTTTCATAGTTGAATTAATTTCTTATGACCATAGATTATTTTTAATATGAACTTTTTTAAAAAATGCTTTAAAAAAAGTTCGTACAAGAGTGGCTATTAAATAAAAAAGACATCGATATCGGTCACCGACACCGGTTCATTAGGTTTGAGGAAAAAATGGCCAGTAAGTTAGTAGAATCTACCGGCCACTGACTACTAATTAAAAATTTAAAATTTCAAGTCTATCCCCTGTAGCTCCCCATCTGGTTTGAAGAGAGCTCTTCCAACAATACGCCGCACCTAAATCTATAACCTTAAAAAAAATAATAATAAGTTTTAAATTAATAAATGCTTTTTCAAACAATTGTTATCGTTGTACAGTTTGTTTGAAGAAGACGTAATAGCGTAAATATTTATTGCAAATTTTTGTATTGTGACTTCTAATCCAATAAAGCTTCCATTTGTTTGTATAAATCACATAAAATCTGTTTGGTTTATAATTCAACTTTATTTTCATGTTCTGTTATTATTACTAATCAGACTTCTCGGCTATTTGTTCCACTTCACTTTAGGGAAAAGTAATCTAAAATGAGAAACCAAAACTGTTTTTCTTTGTTACTGTTAAAGGGGGAGGTGAAAGAGATATAAGGAAATTAACGTCTGAGTGATATGTTTTGACTGGTAATTAAGCTAACACATTTTAAATTCTGTTTTACGTAAAAACAATATTTCTGTAACATGAAAAACAAAATTTATATATTACAGAATCATTACTGAATGCAACTAGGTTAGGTAAAATGGAGTATATTTTATAATAAATAAACAAAGGATATTATTTAAGAAATTTTAATATGATGTTGGGGAAGCAAGTAAAGTCTGACCTCTGCTTTTTATAAAAATATTTTTCATAAAAATATTTTTTCTAATTCTATTTTAACAAAGTGAAATTTCCATGTGGATATTAATTGTTAGTTTGGAATATTTGCCAATGTTTGTTAATTATTTCTCATGTAATTATAAACTACCTTTCTTAATATTGAATTTTAAAATATCTATAAACAAGATCAATCTTCTTTACTTTTGGATCACAGGAATTAACCCTTTGATGAGGGGGTCTCCTTTTTCTGACAACTCTAACGAGAAGTAAAAATGTATTTTGGTATTTTTTAATAATAAGAAAACGTCTAAAAGTTACTTTAAAAAAATCTGTTAGACTATCAGAATTATATTTCTCGAAAATTACTAAAATGCTATAATTTTTTTCACTTATTTTGATTTAAATTAATACACAATAATTAAAAAGTATGAAAAATATGTTTAATACAAATTCTACGTCAAAAGTTTAAGAATTATTAAAATTTATACCCAAATAATTAAATAAATAAAGCAATATTACAGGTAATTGTACAGGATTGTGTATAAAGAAATATCAAATATTTATTTACTAATAAATATATAAGTGTATAATTTTTTAAATTTTTATCAGTGAACTGGACTATCTGAAAAAAATTCTATTAAACGCTTTAAAAAATTCTTGGTCTTTTCCATATTTTACAAAGTTGTTAACTTTACTTTTTCATGTTGTACTTCTTCTCGATATTATATATAATTTTTTTTTTTTTTTTTTTNTTTTTGACTGGGTGTCTGTCAAAATCTTTGATTTGGTACGATGGATCGAACATCTCTTAATAATAATTTAGTAAAAAAAAATTAACAAAAACCCTTAAAAATAGTAAATTCCTAAAATAAAAGTAAAAAATGTGTGTGTTAACTTTTAATGCAATAATCTGAGTGTATAAAATTAAATTTTTCATTTAAAAATATGATAATGACAGATAGCTCAGGAATAAAGAACTTACAAAAGAAAAAATATGAAAATTGACATTTATATATATATTGTCTCGTTGCTATTACTCGCAAACAGCAGTTAAACAGAGATAATATGAGATTTGCTTGATATTATGTTGCAATCAGGTGCCCTTAAGCTAAATAACTGTTTAAATATGAAAAATAAATTTAAAAAACTAAAATATTAATAAAAAAGCATTTCTGCGTTTCAGAACAAAAAATTAAGCAATGTAATACGAAATGCCTGTAGCTTAGAACAATTGAGGGGATATAGTCGAATTTCTTATAACTTTTGAAGGAAAGCAGATGAAAAGTCGGGGTTTATTTGATGTTAATGATATTATCCAAAACCAGTTGAATTTAAGTCTAATTTCCTTAAATATTTCATAAGAAATTCTTTTAACATATTTTATGATAAACTTTATATAAAATGAACATAATATCTGGAAAATTAACAAAGACTACATTAACCTATCGATTCTTAAAAGTTACACCCAATACTTAATTTCTTATTTTTTTTGTGTCGATGCACAAAAAAGTGTTTTTTTTTTTCAAACTTTTTTGAAATTGTATTTTATTTCATACTTTGCAGTCCTATGATTCGCTAAGTTTTTTTAAAAAATTTGCGCTTTATTATTTCCCTTACATTTTTTGATCTTTGTAAATTTCATGCTCACTACTAACATTAAGCCTTGATTTAAGTGTTAATATTACGCATTACTAGAAAGAAAAATAAATCTGATTATCTACATAATTATTGAAAC